ATCCAAATGTCTGCTTTAATTGTCCAATTGCCACAGTGCTTGTCAAAGTCAGTTCTGATTAATCTCCTTTGTCGGTGTGTCCTTTGCCATTCCCTGTCACTCCTCCCTGAGAGAGACTTCACCCTGATTCATAAGGAAAAGGGGATGGTAAAGTGGCTTTGTTTACAATAGCAAAGAGTTGGAAACAATCTAAGTGCCAATCAACAAATGAATAGATAGAAAAGCTATGGTCTATTCACACAATGGAATACTACGCTTCATTAAAAACAAGGAACTCATGCAATTTTATTAAAAATGAGTGACCCTGGAGGACATAATGCTGAGTGAAGTATCTCAGTCACAAAAGGATAAATACTAGATGGTGCCACTGCTGTAAAACAGGACTGACTTCAGGGTTGAGGGGAGACTGAGAAAGATGGGTTCAGTAATGTATACTGCATTGAAACAGATGAGGGAAAGAACTGTTAAAAAGGGATATGTGATTAGGTATTTTTGTCATGACGGGAGTCCAGAGCAGAGGCTGAATAGTGGAGTGGACCTGTGGGGACGGATTGTAAAACAATGAAAGAATTTTTCTTTTTACTTTTCCAAGAGGGTAGTGTACTGGGTGGAGAGGGTTGGGAGGGGAGAAAAGTGTAACAATGAATGAATGGAAATCCAAAGTCTCTGTAAATTTTCACTGAAATTAATAATAAAGTTTTTTTTAAAAAAAGACATCAACAACAAAAAATCAAGTAGCTTGTGCCCTAAATTTCTATCCCTAACAAAATATTAAAAAAAATATACTCCAGCTGTTGATTCTAACCCATAATAACTCTCCATTGAGTTTTCAAGGTTGTAAATCTTTACAGGGGAGACTAAAAATTAACAGTCTCCTAAGGAGCTGCTGATGGATTCAACAATGGACCTTTCTGTTAGCAGCTGAACAAGTAACATACTACACCATTAAGGATCCTTAACATATTGTATTATTTAATGATATTTGTACTAACCTCCTAAAGGTATAAAAATTGGAGAGTGGCTATGTTGCACAAACCTGATGGGAAATCTGCTTCCAGATCCTGTTCAGTTTCCCCTTTTGAGAACTGCTTTAATTCTGATTCAGCCTCTTGCACAGCATTTGACTTTAAGGCATAATGATTCAGTTCTTCCTCCCAGCTATGTGGAGTAGATACAGCTTCTGATTCAAGATCACCACTATATGTACTTCCTTGGTCTGAAATTTATAGAAAACAAAGTCTCCAAATGAGACAGACCACTAACATACAAAACACTTTCTAAATCCATGAACACTAACATCTGAGATTTAATAGTAACACAATTACCTAAGTACACTACTGAAGAAGTAACTTTGTTCATTAGCTCCACAGAATTGGATTAATATTGTTATCATGCTTATTAAGGCAGTGTCTCATTTCATATTTAAAATATGTTAGAAGTAGTTTTATTGTTCTGATTACAATTATGCACACATTATAGAAATGTGACAATCATTTACAAACAGCTAAAGCTGCCAAAATGAAATCCAAACATTTTGAGGTTCTATTCTTAGTAAATTTCTATTAGTAAGAGAAAGAAGTGGGCAAGACACTGGACTAAAATTAAATTTACAATTACAAACCTTTTTCAAATATCTTTGTGTCTAGAAAGAGTTCCTGTTCAGAAGTTTGAGATTCTAAAGAAAACATAATAAAACAATTTATATGCACATCTAAGGAAAGGCCTATCTCAAACAAAAAATATATATGTATTATACACATGAATCATGTTAATACTAAACAAAATCAAATCAAACAACTTATTGTCCCTGAGACAATTCCAAGTCAGAGATCCTACTGAAGAGAGTAAAGTTGGCCCTAATGAGTCTATGGCTTCCGTGTTTTTTAAAAAATTGCATTTCATTCATGTACATTGTTTTGGGTTTTTATTATTCTCTCCCCCCCTCCACCCACCAAATTCTTCTACCCTGTGATTCTCTCCTCTCCCCACCCGCAGTAGCCCCTGCTCTCTCCCCTACCCTCTTTATATATCCATACACATCTACTAGTCATTTGTTTTTACAATAATAGTCTTATAGAGTATTTGTTCTATTCCACTTGAGTTCGTTCACTCAGCATAATTCTCTCTAGCCTCTCCCATGTTACATAGTATTTTTCAAGATCATTGCTCCTGAGTGCTTCCTGCATAGTTATTTCATCATGTAAAAGTATGTGCTATAGCTTCAATCCAGTGTGTTTGTTGATGGATATTTGGGATGTTTCCATATTCTTGGTATCATGAATAATGCTGCTATGAATAAAGATGACAGAAGAATGAGTGATTTCTTTTGAGTTGTGGTGTTGGAGAAGAGTACTGAACATCCCATGGATACAAATCTGTTTGTATCTCAGTTCTGTTTTCTTTGGAGGATATTCCTAGCAGTGGAATAGTTGGGTTATATGGTATCTCTATTTTCAGCTATTTGAGGACAAACCAAACTACCTTCCAGAGTGGTTGTAATATTTTACAATCCCACCAACAGTGTATGAGAGTTCCAATCTTCCCACATCTTCTCCACCATTTATTGCTTGCTGTTTTATGTCCTTAATTTTAACAGCAGGAAACTGTCACTTATGGACTACTTGGCAGGCTTGAACCACCTATCTTTAAACAAATAGTCAAGTACTTAACCACTGTGCCACCAAGGTCCTATAAACCATACTCAAAAATTAAACTCAATGCACTGGAATCGAGTCAGAAGCAATGCAAAGCTTGTTCTGTGAGAGGATTTTTAGAAGCAGTAAACAGCATGGGAGGAGACCTATCTTTTTCACAAGGAGGAGCTGGTGGATTTGAAGTGCTTATTTTGGATGAGCAACACAACTCCTTGCCCACTATGTCTTTGGAGCTCCCTATAAATGACACTTCTTCTGATGTTGTGATGCTGAGTCAAGTATAATTCATAGTAACCCCATGAACAACAGACTTGAACCTTATCCTATCCTGTGCCTTCCTCATCCTCTCTCACACACTTGAGCCTACTGCTGGAGTCATAGTGTCAAACCATCTCACTGAGGGTATTCCTGTCCTTCACTGACTCTCAAGTGTTCCAAGCATGACACTCTTTTCCAAGGAATAGTCCTTTCTAACAAAATGCCCAGGGTATGTGAGTTTTTAAGATTCAGTCTCCTTGCCTTGAAGGAGCACTCCGGTTGGTTGCACTCTCACCAAGACCTATCTGTTTTTTCTGTTGGTAGTTCATGGGATATTCCGTATTCTTCTCTAACACCACAACTCAAAGACATCAATTCTTTTCTGTCCGGCTCTTATATGCACAGCAAGTGACTGAAACGACAACAGTCTGATCACTTGCACCTTAGTTGTTGTTTTTTTCTATCATGTTTTCATTTAATAGTGCACCTTACTCTTAAAACAGACATCCTTCCTTGTCAGTAATTTGAAGAGGTTACTGACAACAGAATTCAGAATGCAATATGTCTTCTGATATCCTAACTGCTGGAACCAAGGGTGCTGATTGTGGATCTAAGTAAGTTGAAATTTTTGATGATTTCAATCTTTTCACCATTTATCCTGATGTTGCTTAGTGGACCAGTGGTAATAATTTTTGTTTTCTTGATGTTGATATGCAATCCATACTGAAGGCTGTAGTCTATGATCTTCTGTACATGCAATTCAAGTACTCCTCACAGCCACATTCTTCTTCACTGAGTCCAGCCTATCAAATGATTTGCTCAGAATACATTTTGAACAAGTATGGAGAGAGGTTAAAATCCTAAAATGCACCCTTCTCAACTTTAAATTATGCAGTATTCACCTCACTCCAGACAACAGTTTCTTGTTCTAGGTATATATTTCATAAGAGCATAATTAAATGTTCTGAGATTCTCATTCTGCTTATTGTTAACTATAGTGTGCTATGACACAGTCAAATACCATTGCATAGTCAATAAAACACAGATATTCTCCCAAGATTCTTTCCTTTCAGTCAGGATCCATCTGACATCAGAAATTATATCCCTGGCGCCATGGCTTCTTCTAAACTCAGCTTCAACTTTGGTCAGTTCTCTGTTAATGTATTCTTCTAACAGTTTTTGAAAGATATTCAACAATATTTGGCTTGCATGTGATATAATACATTGTTGCTGTTGTATGCTACTGAGGTGGAACCTATCCATAGCTGACTCTCCATGGGATTTTCAGAGACAGTAAATGGCAAGAGATATTTCAATCCTTTTCACATGGAGCAGGTGATAGATTTAAACCATGTTCCATTGGGACTGCAGTGCAGCTTAACACTAGGCCACCAAAGCTTCTATCATACTTCTTGTTGTGTACCATCGAGTAGAAACCAACCCATAGCTGACCCTCCAGTGGGTTTTCAGAGGCAGTTAACTGTCCAGGAGGAGACTGCCCATCCTTCTTCAGAGCAGCTGGCAGATTTGAACCACATGCCTTCAGGACAGCAGTGCAGCTTCTTACCACTAGGACACCAGAGCTCCCTACTCAACTGATAGAGGTAATGCAATTAAATTATTACTGTTAACAGTTGTTCTACTTTTAGCATTTATTATGCAAAATTACAACTCAGTGGCTAGTTTTTAAATTCCACACTAGGGATTCAAGGCCAATTTCTTGACTCTTCACTGTTATTATATTACTTATTAATATGTTTACATTACCTTAAAGACCAGTTTCATCACCTTTTTATTAAAATTATCACTAATCTTTCTGGTGACCCAGTGGGAGGGAAGTGCATTGCCAACTCAAAGGCAAGTAGTTGTAATTCACAAGCTGCTCTGCAAGAAACATGAGCAATCTCCTTCTGTGTGACTCAAAACCTTCTGAAAACCCACAGGAGGGTCAGCTACGAGACAGTTCCGATTTGAACGCAATGAGTTTACTTTTTTTAAAAGAGAGTCAGATCTTAATTGTGCTCTGGCATCAAACAGATCTGTATTCATATACTGGTTCCATCCCATCTTGATTGCATAAGCAGGACAAATATCTTGTTCTATTTTCCAGATGAGGAATTTGAAATAAACAGGGAACTCCTCAAGGGTATCTGTGAAGACTAAATAAGATTATACACTTAGGACAATACCTAGAGTAAGCATACAAACAATTACTATTATTATAGTTCCACATTAACAGAATGGGATTTGATTACAGTTTATATTGAACTAAATTTTCTATCCTAAAGTTCTATTTACCCTTTATGAACATTTGGGTTAATATAAAAACAGTACTGAATATTGACACTGGGTTAACATTTACAAAAAGAATAAAGGCTGTCAAAGGTATCAATCAGTTTAAGAAACTCACAGTTTTGGTATATAAACAAAATGAAAATTTAGAAATGCACTGAGCGCCTGATACTCATAATTATGTGGGTCTCTTTAAAAATCTACAGACATATCTATAATTTCTATACAATTTAAAAATACAGAAAATTATACAAACCTCCCTGGGATAGAGTTTTTTCCTTCTCTTCATCTTCTGCAATCATTTCTGCCATCTCAAGGAGATCAGCTTCAAATGGATGTGTGGGAAGCTTTCCCTTCATGTCTTCAATACTTTCAGTTCCTTTATCTTCATTATTCATTGAGAATGGAATAAACATGGGGATAGGCATCTAAAAGACCAACAACAGAATGAAGAACTTATTAAGCAATAAATATATCATAGAAACCATAATTTGTGTGATTATTATATAGGAATTATTAAATAAATTCAACATATTCCTACTGCTGATGATTAATGTGTTCTTGCTAGTCTCTTTTTATAAAATCAGTTATGTTTAAGTAAATATACAATTAGCCCTTTATTGGGCATGCAACAAAATATATATGTACATTCTTTAAAAACACAAGCATCTAATGAAATTGAAATTCATTTTAATTTTATTTATTGCTTAACATTTTAACACAAGTGATTCCTTTAAGAGTTCAGTACCAAAGGAAAATATATTTCCTCTGAAAAATGGATATATTGTGCTATAATAAAAACTGAAAATCATAAAAAACCTAAAGGAAGTGGACAAATACGTAGAAATTTATAACCTACCTACACTGACAACAACCGAAATTGATCACCTGAACAGACCCATTACAAAAGAAGAAATTGAAAAGGTAATACAACAATTTCTAGCCAAAAAAAGTCCTGGACCAGATGGCTTTACAAGTGAATTTTATCAAACATTCACAGAAGAACTGTCACCAATCCTACATAAACTATTTCAGAATATAGAAAAGATGGACTTCTCCCAGACTCAATTCTATGAAGCAAACATATCCTTGATAGCAAAACCAGGTAAAGATACCAGCAAAATAGAAAACTGGGGGGAAGGTAGAGAAAATAGTACAACAATGAATGAATGGAAACTCAAAATCTCTGTAAATGTTCATTACAATTAATAAAATTTAATAAAAAAACCCAAATAGAAAACTGTATGCCAATATTTCTCACGAACATAGATACAAAAATACATCGAAAAAATAATTCACCATGACTAAGTAGGATTCATAACAGGTATGCAAGGATGGTTCAACATAAGAAAAACAATCAACATAATTCATCACATCAACAAAGCAAAGAACAAGAACCACATGATCCTATCAATTGATGCAGAAAAGGCCTTTGCCAAAATCCAACGCCTTTTCCTGATTAAAACACTCAACAAAATAGGATTAGAGGGGAATTTCTTCAACATAGTAAAAATTATATACACAAACCCGAGAGCCAACATTGTTCTCAATGGAAAAAGATTAAAGGCATAATCCCCTTGAGAACAGAAACTGGGGAAGGATGCTCACTGTCATCTCTCCTATTCAATATTGTATTTGAAGTCTTAGCGATAGCAATAAGGCAAGATAAAGAAATAAAAGGTATTCAAACTGGCAAAGAGGAGGTAAAATTATCTCTATATGCAGATGACAGGATAGTTTACTTAGAAAACCCTAAAGACTCAGCAAGAAAACTACTGGACATAGTTGACCAATTCAGCAAAGTGGCAGGACACAAGATCAACAACATACAAAAATCAATGGGATTTCTCTACAGTAACAAAGTGAATACAAAACTGGAGCTGGGAAAAACAAAACAATACCCTTCACAAACGCTAATCACAAGATTAAATATTTATGAGTAAACCTAACCAGAAGAACAAAGAATCTCTTCAAAGAAAATTACAAAACATTATCACAAGAAACAAAAAGAATGCACACCCATGTTTATTGCATCTTTGTTCACAGTAGCAAGGAGTTGGAAACAACCCAAGTGCCCATCAACAAAGGAATGGATAGAGAAGCTGTGGTATATTCCCACAATGGAATACTACACTGCATTGATAAACAAAGAATTCATGCAATATTATTCAAAATGGGTGACCCTGGAGGACAAAAACCAAAACAAAACTGAGAATCATGTACACCAAAAGTATTTCTTCTCACTATTGCAAGAATCCCAAAAAATCCCAAAATGTTTCTAATACTCTTCTATTTACTGGTCTTATTATGAGCAGCTTTTTAAAAGAAGAAGCTCTAAAAAGGTAGATTACAAAATAAGCAGGTCATTATATATTTTACATTAAATAATATACTAATAGTTAACCACAATTAGGTGTATTTATTAACAACTTTAAAAAGGCTCTAAAGAAGTGTAAAATTTTAATTGAGGAAATTGGCAAATTTCCCATAATCTTTAAATGATTACTTACTGGAACTGGAATTCCAAACGGTACAGGTGCATACTGAGTATAAAGATGAAGAGGTATAGGCACAAACACTGGCACAGGGACGGGCACCATAATGATTTGGGGTTGACTTGGAGTGTCTTCTATTGGAAAAAATTAAGAACAAAGATGATTAGAAACTACAGTTCAGTAAAATTATGAGGAGCTCACAGAGATTTAGTCAAAAGCATATGTAATCTATGGCACTAGGTACAGAAAAATCAACTGCAGTAGCAGTAACAAAGAGTAAAGCACTAATGAGTAACACAAATTCCAATGATGTTCGAATAAAATGAATGAAGAATATCTGTAATTTGAAAAGATGCATAGAAAGAACTGGAAAAGATATCTGAGAAGAGTATGGAAAACAGTGTGCTGACAGGAATAAGAATACAGTTATTGAGCAGTATAAAGGTTGTTGTGGCATAAATTTCAACTTAGAATTAACACATAAGTCAAGAGTAGAACTTCCCATAGGGTTTCCAAAGCTATAAATCGTGAAAAACACAGACTGCTACATTTTCTCCCCAGATTTTTTTTTTTTGCTTTTCAATTTTTATTAATTTAGTTTATTTTTCATTTCAATGAACATCTACAGAGATTTTGGAATTCCATTCCTTTCTTGTTTCCCCCTTTTCCCCCCCCCACCCCCCGCCCCGTTTGCTCCTCTCCTTGAAAAGCAAAACTCCCTCATTGGTACACAATCCCCCCCGCACCTCCCCAAACCCCACCCCCTACCCCCAAATATAATCCACTCTGCAACCCTCATTGCGTAGTCCTAAAGGGATGATAAAATGTGAAGTTTTGAATTATTTCTAAGAAACAGTAGGATGTCACTTATTAATATGCTAAGCCTGGTTGTTGCTGATACATGCTGCTGGGTTGGAAATGATGAAAAGTTGACCACCAATGCGTTTTCAGAGGCTGTAAATCCTATGAGAAGAGACTGCTTATCATTTTTCTCATATGTAGCAGATGGTGGATTAGAACTGTCTTCCCTTCGGTTGACAGCACAATTCCTTAACCACCAGGCCACCAAAGCTCCCTATTTGTTATTGTTATGTGCCATCGAGCTCGCTGCAGCTCACAGTGACCTAAACAACAATGATGTCATTTTAAAATTTCAGATGCACCAGATCCAATTTATCAATTACTTGTTATGCATCTGAAAGTTGGACAATGAGTAAGATGACAGAAGAAGCATCACTGCCTTTGAGTTGCGGTGTTGGGAAAAAAGTAGTGAATATCCCAACGAATTTGAAGAGAATAGGTCTGTATTAGAGAAAGTGAAACCAGGGTGTTGCGTGAAGGCAAAGATGGAGAAACTGTCTCATATGCTTTGGGCATGTTATTAGGTGCTTCCTATAGACCATATAAATTAGGAGAACCAGGAAAAGTGCTAAGAAGTGTCTTCCTTGGGTCAGAACAAACCCCAAAGTATGGCATAAATAATTATCCTGCTTGGACTTAATTGGATCAGATGGCTAAGCAAAAACAACTAAACAACAAAATGACCTACAATCAGCTTACAACTGGTGAAGCCTAAAGAAATTGGGAACAAGGAAGAATCAGTGGATGGAAAATATGGACTTGGTGAGAGACAAAAGAATTTTGTACAATCAAGGAATTATTCATTCTAAGTACCTTTTATAAGATACACAATCTATAGGTAGAACAGATCATTCAGGAGGCTGAATGAGGCTTCAGGACTGGACCAAGGCTCATCAACAACTTGTGTTATGCAGATGATACAACATTGCTTGCCAAAATTGGGGAGAACAAAGCATTTGCTGCAGAAGGTCAAGAACTGCAGTCATCAATATGTATTGAAGCTCACATCAAGAAAACAAAGATTCTCAACAACAGATAAATTGATAGCACCATGACAGATGAAGAAGAGACTGAGAATGTTAACAATTTCAACTTACTTGGCCCCACAATCCACACTCTTGGAACCAGCAGTCAGGAAATAAAAAATTGAATTGGATTAGGAAAATCTGCAGTAAGGATATCCCCAGAGTGCTAAAGAGCAACAATGTAAGTCTAGAGACTAATGTGGGCACGTTCCAGGCCATGGTCTTCACAATTACTTGCAACACATCAGAGAGCTAGACAATGAACAAGAATGAAAGAAGAAAAATTGATGCCTTTGAGTTCTGGTGCTAGAGGAGCGTACTAAGTATACCAAGAGAGCAAACAAGTCCCACCTAGAGAGGGATGCAATCAGGTTGATCCTTGGAGGCAGGGACTTTGAAGCTCTGTCTCACATATTGTGCACATGCTGCCAGGAGGGATCAGTCCTTGGAGAAGGATATCATGCTTGGAAGGGTAGAGGGACAGCATAGAAGACCATGGATAAGATGGACTGACCCAGTACCTGATGTGATGGAGACAGTGAGGTTGGATAGGACAGAAGTCATTCAGAGCTATTGTGGACAGGGCCACTATGAGTTGCAGTTGACTAGACAATATAAACAACACATACAAATCAAGATTTCTATTTTAAAAGATTGAAATTATTAACAATTTCATCCTATTGGGATCCATACTCAACCCTCTTGGTACCTGGAGGAAAATATCAAAGATGTGGGAAAGTCAGCTGTCAGGAATCTCTCCAAATAACTGAGGAAGGATGATATTAGTGTGAAGACTAAGGTGTTCATGATTCAGATTACAGTCTTTTTAATTGTATGCCATGCATCTGAGAGTTGGAAAATGATTAAGAATCACAGAAAAATAATTGATGCCTTTGAGCTGTGGTGCTGAAGAATAGTATTGCGTGTCTAATGGACTGCCAAAAGAATACTCAATCTTCTTTGGAGGCAAGGATTGTAAAACTACTTCTCACAACTTCAGGTATGTTGTTAGGAGGGACTATTAATTAGAAACAGACATCATGCTTGAAAAACTAAAGGGTCAGCAAAAGAGAGAAAGACCTGCGACGAGATGGACTGACAGTGATGGCAGCAAAGGGCTCAAGTATGTCAAAGATGATGAAAATGGTACAGTATAGATAGGAAAGGGCTGAGATCTGGTTTTCTTGGGGGTCACTGTAAGTCTCACTTAACCGATGGTACATAAAACAACAACAATAACAAAGGCAGGTCTAATGTCAAATAAAGGAGATTGTTGTCAGGTGACACAGAGTCGAGTACAACTGATAGCAACCCTATGAACAACAGATCTATGATAACAGAGAAAACATTCAAACTGTCAACGACTTCACCTTACTTGAATCCATAATCAACACCCTTAGTACCAGCAGTCACAAGATCAGGAGACATATTATACCGGGAAAGTCTGTAGTCAGGGGCATCTCCAAATCACAGAGGGGCAATAATGTTGGTCAGAAGACTAAGATGCGCTTGATTCATATCATGGTAATGTCAGTCATTTACTATGCTGCTGAGCGCTGGACAATGAATAAGGAGGACAGAAAAAAAAACCACCACAAAAAAACAACCCTGTTAACTTTGAACTGTGGTGCTGGAAAATAATACTAAATATCCCATGGATTTCCAAGAGAACAAATAGGTACGTCTTGGAGAAAGTGCAGCCAGAGTGCTCCTTCAAAGTAAGGATAATGAAGCTTCATCTTACATACTTTGGGAAAGTTGCTAGAAAACACTGTCCGTTGGAGAGGGACATCATGCTTGAAAAGGTAGGGGAACAGTGAAGACGACCCTCAATCAAGTGGGCTGACAGAGTAAATGGGATCAAGTGTGTCAGAGATTATGAGGTTGGCACAGGCTAGGAAAAGATTCAGATTTGTTATTCATAAAGTTGCTGTAAGTCATACTTGACTCGATGGTACCTATCAACAAGAAGAACCTTCTCTTTGCCCCCTGTAGCATGAAATCTTTGGTTTGGGCTTGTGCAAAGATAATACTGGGCTTTTAGTACGGGTCACTGAATTTTTCTTTCCCTAATCTCTCTGTTCTCTCTGCAGAAGAACACTGTATTATTTAAAATTGAGAAGTTTTGTTTGTTGACATTGAGATGAAATACACATTGAAAGCTCTAGTGTTTGATTTTTTGCAGGAAGAAGCACTTCATTTCCACCTTACTTTCATCAAGCAAGGCTGGGTAATCCACATACCAAGGTCCTCTAATCATGATGCCTCACTCTTTTTCAGAGTCCAGCTTCTCAAATAATTTGCTCAGCATACAGACTGAGACTAAGGTGTACCTCGTCCAGGCCATGGTCTTTTCAATTACTTGCTATCCAACAGAAAGCTGGACAATAAGGAATGATAGAAGAAGAATTGAGGCCTTTGAGTTGTGGTGCTGGAAAGAGTATTAAATATACCATGGACTGCTAGGAGAACAAACAGGTTCATCCTGAAGAAGGTAAAACCACACTTCTCCATGAAGGGAAGGATTCTGAGGCTTTGCCTGATACTATGGGCGTGCTACAATGAGGGACTAGTCCTTGGAGAGGGACACATGCTTGGAAGGGACAGTGCAAGAAAGGAAAACCCTGGGTGTGATAGATTGACTTAGTAACTGGGGTAATGGGGGTGGGTATGTTGGAGCTGATGAGGTTGGCACAGGACAGAACAAGGTTCAGAGCTGCTACTTAACAACAATAACAACAACAATGTTCTCTTGCTCTGTTTGCACAACAGCTTCTAGGTCTGGGATTCTCATTCTTCTCAACGTTTGCCATAATTTACTATAATCCATATAGTCAATTGTTTGCATAGCCAATAAAGCACAAATAGACATCCTTCTGGTATTCTTTGCCTTCAACCAGAATCCATCTGATATCAGCAATGATAGCCCTGATGCCATGGCCTCTTCTAAACACAGATTGAACTTCTGGCAGCTCTCTATGTACTGTTTTGCCATGTTTGACTGATCTCTTGTAGTATTTTGCATGGATGTGACAGCAATGGTATTGTTGGATAATTTCCACATTCTATTAGATTACCTTTCTTGAGAATGGGAACAAATATGGGTATCTTCCAGTGGTCGATGAATAAGGATGACAGAAAAAGAATTGACGCATTTGAGCAGTGGTGCTGAAGAAGAGCACTGACATCCCATGGATGGCCAAGAGAATGAACAGATATGTCTTGGAGAGGGTGCAGCCAGAGTGCTCTTTGGAGGCAAGAATGATGAGGCTTCATCTCACACTTTGGGCACGTTGCCAAGAAGGCTATTCCTTAGGAGAAGGACATGGTGCTGGGAAGGTTGGAAGATTGGCAAAACAGAGGGAGACCCTCGATCAGGAGGACTGATACAATGACTGCCACAATGGGCTCTTGTGTCAGGAAGCATGAGGATGGCACAGGATAGAAGAGGGTTCAAATCCCTTGTTCACAGGGTCACTATGAGTCGTACTCAACTCAATGGCACGTAACAACTAGTTGGCTGGCCAGGCAGCTGTCCTGAAAATTTCTTGGCATAGTATGGGGAGCATGTCCAAGGCTGCATCTGTATTTGAAATATGTCAACTGGTATCCTGTCAATTACTATGTCCTAATTTTCACCAATGTCTTCATTAGAGCTTGAACTTTTTCCTTCCTTAATATTGGTGCTGATCAATGGTATTTCCTGAGAAATTTCAGTGTCACCCAGTTTGTTTTGGTACAGTGATTCTATGTATCACTTCCCTCTGCTGCTTTTTAAAAAATACTAATTTATAAAATTCAAACACATTGTTTTCCACAACAGATTCTTCCAATTTCCCTCACCCATCAAATTGTACAACTCCATGATTAATACCCCTCTCCACCTGCACATCCTCATCCCTCTGCTTCCACCACCCCCCGCCCCGCCCTCAGATCCTTATACTCACTTATTATACAATAATGGTCTTATACAGTATTTGTCCTGGTGGGACTGAGTTCACTTTTGATGTTTCCATCATTCAAGATTTTGCCCATTAGCATATCCTTTAATATTGCAACTTGGGGCCTGAATTTGTTTTTCAGTTCTTTCAAGTCCAAGAAATACTGAGCAAGTTCTTCCCTTTTGTCCCTCTAATTTTAGGTCTCTGGATACTCCATTATAATACTTTGGTTTGTCTTCTCAAACTGCCCTTTAATATCTTCTGCGCAGCTCCTTTACTTCAAATATCTTCTTTTCGTTTTAGCCTCTGGATGCTCTAGTGCAATTTTCAGGGTTTTTTTCTGACTTCTACTTTGGTTTTTAATTTCTCTTTTTTCTTTGTAGTGAACTTTTGCTCTCTTCATAGATGATATCATTCCACAACATACCTGATCTTTGATTGTTAGTCTTCAACGCTTCAAATCTATACTTAAGAGGATTTATTAATTCAGATACGACTCAAGATCACAGTTTGGTTCTTGTGGACATGCTATCACCTTCTTCATTCTCAAGCTGAACGTGTACTTAAATAATTGATGTTGAGTTCCATAGTTGATACTTGGCCTAGTTCTGAGTGCTGATATTGAGCTTCTCCAATAATTCCTTCCACATATATAATCAGTCTGATTCTTAGGCAGTCCATCAGTTGATGTTCATATGTAAAGTTGTTATTAGTGTTTGGTTTTTTTTAAAAAAAAAGGTATTTGTAATGAATAAATCACTGAATACAGAAAATCTGATCATTCTCTTTCAGCCTCATTTCTTTCACCAAGTCTGTGATGACTTTCTGACTGTCCTTTCATTTTGTTTCCAGCTTTCATTTTCTAGTCACCAATTATCATTAATGTATCTTGACCGCATATTTGGTCCATTTCGGACTGCAAAATTTCATAAAATCTTCACTTCCCTCCTCCTCTTCCTCCACTTTAGATGTCGGTGTGTATATTTAAATAATATTTGTACTAACAGGTTTCTGGCTTTAAACATATTTTAGTAGTTGGAACATGGAACGTAGGAAGTATGAATTTTGGAAAACTAGAAGTGACAAATGAAATGGAGCAAATGAACATCCACTTTCTAGGCATGAATGAGATGCAATGGATTGGCTTTGGCCACTTTAAATCAGACAATGACATGGTATACTATGTTTCAAATGAAAAACAGAGGAAGAATGGTGTTGTGTTCATAGTTAAAAAGACAATTTCAAGTTCTATCCTGCAGTACAATGTGGTGAATGATATTATCCATATACATAAAAGACAATAAGTGGATGTCACTATAATAACCTAGTCAAAGTCACAAATAAATTAACAAAAACAAGTCCCAGAAAGAATATACTGTCTACAATGTCTAATTTTCAACAGCAAAAAAATTTATGAAACATATAAAGAAATAGAGAAGTATGATTCAGGAAACAAAAAGCAGGTAAAAGATTCTCTGTGAGGGCTTATATGTCAGATTTAACAAGTACTGCAAAAGAATCATAATAAGCATATATTCACACAACTAAATGAAATCACACTTAAGTAGAATGATAATGTTTCTTCAAATAAAGAATATCAATTAAAAAACAAATTATAAAAATCCTGATTCCATGAAAATGTCAAAATATACAGCCGTGAACCATTTCAATATTTTTCAAAGAAACTGAATAATGCATATTGAAGCATATTTCACCAACAGGGGAAAAAAGGAGTATTAGTGGCACTGTGGGTTAAGTATTCCACTAGCAGGCAGTGGGAGGTTAGTGATTTGAATTTACAAGCTGCTCTATGGAGAAAGATGAGACAATGTACTTCCTAAAGATTGACAGCCTTGGAAACACCAAGGGAGCACAAAGTCACTATGAATTGGATTTAACCTGATGTCAGTGGATAGGGGTCAATTAACTGAAGAAAAAGGACAAGATTCTGATCCAATCCAACTTTGCAGAATTATTTCTAATGAAAAAGTGATCAAATATTTGTCAAAAACTTTAAGATACTAAATACAAATTTTCTGTCAAAATAAAACATTATTGGGACTATAATTTAGAATATCTTTGAAAAAATTCTTACTACTGAAGAAACTCAAGCATGAGGAAGCTAATTAAGTAGATAGTATGGCCTCTGGAAGTAAAAACTTAGATGCAATCTCAATTATCACCAATGTACTACTCTATGGATATATAATCCTATAATCCAAAGGTCATACTATTCCACTAGTTGTGATGTTCAAAAACAATGAAGATATATAAGCCAATATAAAATAAAAACTTTATTTAAAAAAGAGATATAAATCATATTTGATTCTTGAAGTACAGTACTGTGAGGATCAACTAGTTAATAAGTGTGAAAGCTTATTATAACAGATAAAATTTAAAAGGTGAGTGGTTGAATTTTAAATAAAGGATAACATAATACTGAGTGTGCATTATTTAACAGACACTTATACAGAGAATTAATACAATTTTTCAACTACTGTTGGGACAGAAATTTTAATTTCAATATAGCAGACAAAACAGATTCATTAAAAAGTTTAACTTTTCTATTATTACACAACAAACAACAGGCAGAATTTAGATTTAAAGCCAACTCTACATAATTCCAAAACTCATGCTTATTCCACAATACTTCAGTATAAACTTTATAGGTGGAAAATATTTAACTCAAAGGAGTACTGTGCTATAAAACTTGGATAATATATAAAAGCAACTAAAGACATACACCTAGGTAAGTTAACAGATGGTCTATTAACTTAAGCAGATTCCCACATTCCTTTCTTTATAAACTGGCTAAAATATAAAGAAAGCTCAATGAACATACCTGTCTGGCTTTCTTTGTTTTGAGTATGTGGTTTACAAGACGTAGCTTTAGTCTGTGTAATAGGTTTGCACAATAATGCTTTGTTCTTCAAAAGCCGTGGAGGTTGACAAGGTGGTAGTTTTAGGGCATCTGTTTGTGTACTTGCCTAGTAAAAATTCAATCAGAAACCAAAGAAATTCTCTAAATCTCATGGTAAGAAGCTGTGCTGCAATCCTAAAAGCATGCAGTTTGAATCCACCAAATGCTCCATGGGCAGAAGGATGGGCAATCTCCTCCTGTGTGACATACTGCCTCTGAAAACCCACTGGAGGGTCAATTATGGGTTGGTTTCAATCTCAACAGCATACAACAACATCATTAATAATATGAAAAAAATTTTTAGTTAAAATCATGTTAGAATTGCAAGACATAGTAGGTTAACAGTTAAAACTTATGATAAAGCCCTAAAATAATTAACAGCAGTAAAAGAGTATGTTGTTGTTACGTGCTGTCGAGTCATAGATGACTCAGAGTGACCCAATTAAAGAAAAGACCTGAACACTTGTATAACTTTCACTGTTTCTCCAAGTTTATAGAGTTTCCGGAGGCAAGCTATTTTGGAAGTGGATGCCACTCCTGCTTCCAAGCTTGTTTTAATCAGGGAGCTCCACCCCAATTAAAAGAGTATACTGGTATCTAAATACTAACTTTTCTAATAAGAAATAGACAATTACTATTGTAAAATATTGCTGATTAATAACAATGGTGGTAGAGTTTAAAATGAGAACTGTTAATTCTTGAATGACTGACGTTTTAGAAGGGCTAGTTTCAAGATAACCAAGAATTACTTTGAGTCATTATGACCATTTAAGTAACTTGAATAATAATATGGAAGTTATCTCAAAAACCAAGAAAAACTTTAGAAATCACATTATTTTAATCAGAATGTTTTATTTATTTTATTTATCTTCTTAAGAGAAAGCAAAAATACTGACTAAAATTGTGGAATGGTCATTTAAAAGCTATTCTTCAAAAGGAGAACGCTAGCTATATTTGAATTTTTTTTTACAATCCAATTATAATTCCTCCAAAAGATCTCTTATGCTGAAATATGTACAATTTACTTTAATACCATATAATAAACTATTTAAGGCACATAATAACTACATAAGCACAGCAAATATTAAAAAAAATAAAGTACATAAAATACCTCATTAAAGAACTAGAAAACTCTATTGTTGAACAAAGTTGGCATACTAACAGTATTTCTTTTATGTACTAAGGAGGTTTTCAACATCTTTCCACTACAGCAAACAAAACCCAACACCAAACTAGATGACACTGAGTTAGTTCCTACTCATGTAATTCCCATGTGTAGAGGAGACGCATACTCTAAGATTTAAGGCTGTGACCTCCTGGAATCAGGTTGCCTGGCCTTTCTTTCAAGATACCTCGAGGTGGATATGAACTGCCAACCTTTCAATTAATAATCAAGTCCCTAACTGTTTATGCTACCTAAGGATAGCAGATAAAGAACAAACTCATTGCAGCTAAAGTGATTTTGACGCATGGCAATCACATGCATTACACAGTATAATTGCTCATCAAGGTTATCTGGCTATAATCTTTACAAAAGTAAATTGCCAGGTCTTTCTTACACAGTGCCACTGGATGTGTTTGAACCACCAGCCTTTAGGTTAGTAGTGCAAACCATTTTTGCCATACAGGCACCTTCAAGAAAGAATAAAACAAAACTAAAAGTCACTTCAGTGCTGTAGAATTGATTCTGATTCAAAATAACCCAGAATGACAAGAGTGCCCCACAAAGTTTCAAACACTATAATTTTCACAGACACAGATTATCCCATCTTTCTATGAAGCCATTGGTAACTTCAAACACCTACTCTTTTAACTGGTAACCAGATACTTAACTACTGAGCCAGTAGGGTCCTGTCCATAAAGAATGGAGATCGCAAATTAGACCAAGCATATTCACAGTGCATACAAGTTGAAAATAAGTTTAGTGGTAATACAGGAAAAATAATAAAACTTACATCACCAATGATTTTTGCTGTTACTGTTGGAACTGCACCTGATAAAAATTGCAAAACAGATTTAGGATAGTGTATAATTATTTAAATATCAGCATTAAATGCTGATTTTTTTTGTCAATTAAAATATACAAAGTGATTATAAAAGCATGTGTTACCCTAAATTAACACAACAGATGAAACTATCAAGTCTAAAATATAGTATGAGAAAGAGCTGAATATGAAAAACATTATTTTAGATCCTAACAGCCCATAGAGAGCCTCCATTCCTAACAGAAATGTGCCATACCCGTGAAAATGATCACAGATGATAGTACAGAACTACTATTTTTGCCTCAAAATATCTAGACAGATGCTTTCAAATCCAGCTATACCTTGTAAGACGCTGTTAGGATTCACTGTGGGTTGGGCAGCAGGCGCACTTGCCAATGATACTACATTAGCTATAACTGGAGTTGAATCTTTTCTTAGAGATGGGGGCCCTGCTGAAGCAGCTTGCACCATGGAAATACTTGCTGATTAAAACAAACAAAAATAAGAAAACCTCATGTATTTACCATATACATTCATATATAAAAAAACCACTATTTCAACAGGGCTAACAGTATTTTTATGATGATTTCTAATGATGTAAATAATCAATTCAAGATTAACTGGATGTTGTTTTAAACCTACTAAATGTAGAGAAGAAACCAGGTAAGAAAACTTCTCAGTTGGTGGGACGCTACTGAGTAATTAATGTTGTTGTTGTTAAGTGCCGTCGTAGACGACTTGTAGCGACCCTATGAACAAAAAACCTGAGCACTGTTCATAGTGTTTCTGGAGGCAAGCTATTTCGGAAGTGGATGCACTCTTGCTTTCAGGCTTGTTTTAAATCAGGAAGGTCCACCAAACACTGTCCACCTTGGTAACCATTATCACATCTGGCACATCAGTGTTACAGCGCTTAGCATCACAGCAACCACGAGTTGCTTCTGCACAGCAATGCACAGACCAGTGCTATACTACTTAGAAGAATGTTTGAGAAAACTCAATTTGAACCAGACCTGAGGGCCGCAGATTAAAATCACCCACCTTGGGCTTGGTAGCATAACTTTCTGTCCACTAGGCCAATGTAGCTCTATTTTGTTGTTGTTACTGTTGTTAAGTGCCACTGAGTTCTAGACGACTCATAGCAACCCCTGGGCTTGGTAATTAATGTACTGTATGAATTAAGTGATTTTGCATTTTAAAGTTAAAACATGGGAATATGTCAGCAAGCTAATTTTTTTCCGTGTTCTTCTACTATATCCCTATACGACCTGAGAGAGGAATTATGGTACAGAAATAGTTGAGGGTGAGAACACCTCCTTGGAATGAAATGTTTCTTTGTGTGATAATTTAATTACAGAATTAAAAAAACTGGCACATTTTTGTGGATTAAGTGTATAGCTTTCATATCTACATTTCAAAAAATGACCATTGTAACTCGATAGGGTATGATTTACTTTTACATAAACATCACTGCAAAGCAAGGCGTAGAAACTAAGCTAGGCTTATTACTGTGCAAAAAAGTAAAATAAATGCTTAATACAGTTAAAAAAAATTAACTGGACATTTGCCTTTTATTATTTAATTAATGTACTCATTGCTATCAAGTCAGAACCGGCTCACAAGCGATCCTCTAGCAAGGTTCCTGAGGCTGTAAATTGTACCACAGATTGTCTATCTTTCTCCTGAGGAGCTGCTGGTAGATTTAAGCCTCCAGAGAGAAACCATTTTTAATTTAGGTAGCAGTACAACTCCTTAAGTATTATAAAACCAGAGCTCCCTCTTATGTATTCTCTCTTTGTAGAAAAATATAATGCTTAAAATTACAACAAAGATGTAAAAAAAAAAAAATCCTCAAACCCTAAAGGTACAATATTAATTAAGATTTCAGAATAGAGTTAACTAGCATTTATTTCTAAGTGTATGAAGAAAGCTTTTACTATCATCTTGCTTCTGTTTATAAAAAGGATGTATTTAAAAAAATAAAATAAAAAAAGGATGTATTTCAACCATTTTAATTATTGGAATGGTACCATATTGCAAATCATATTTAACCAAAAATTTTCTAAATTGAAATAATCTTAATTATGCAAATTGTACATTTGTAAGTTTAGATAATTTAGGTTCTATGTCCTTTAAGTAGTTTCAAATGACTTTTCTTAAGACAGTTAATATGTATATATCAAATTACAAAAAAAGAAATTTACTGCTATAAAGTACTTAGAAACTTTATTTCATTCTCTAAGAAAATGAAAAGATTTTATGTCTATGCAGCTTTAACCTAAAGCATTATATAAAACAAAAGGAGAATTTAAAATTTAATGTTACTTGAGCAAAATTTATGATTCATTACATTTTTTAAAATTTTAATGAAAGTTTACAAAAAGGGTTTTTAATTAATTCTTTGAAGCTTATATTCCTCCCTTAGTCCACTTTGTAAATTATTTATAATTGTTTATAGCTCCTAAACAACATGAGAACAGTAGTTAATTCCTTATATTTACCAACGACCTCATTCATTTAATTTTACCTGTATTGTTTTGTGAAGGCAGGTCACATATACTTTGTTGGTTACAAAACATTAAGATACAAAGCAAGTTACAAAAATGCTTCATTTCTCCTCGCCATTTCAAAGACTCACTGAGTTTACCCTGTCGCTTACAACCATCACATTTGCCCATCTGAGAATGAAAAAGAAGACAAATTATCTGTGGTTTGAGAGAAAAAAAAAAACAAAAACAGGACATATATAACCAATCAGGAAACTATCCTGTATCACAAAAAGAAGAGCTGGCTATCCTATAATGTTAAAAATATTTACATCGCAATCATTAATTTAATCTTAAAGATTTTTTTAAATGTCTTACATTATCAATTATCTGCTGTGGAGTTAGAATCCACTCATAGCTGATTCTCCAGCTAGTTTTCAGAGGCTGCAAATCACATGGGAGAAAACAGCTCATCTTTATCTTGAGGAGCTGCTGGTGAATGGTGCCACCTTCAGGTTAGCAGAACAAATCCCTGCAGGCTACATATACTACCAGAGCCCATCTATTTATAAACCCCAATACCAGATCTAAAGCAGCCAATAAAAGCAATTTTTTAAAAAAGGGTAAAACTAATACTTTATATTTTCCAAATGAATCAGAAAACAAATTTTAGTAAATAACATATTGATAAAATTACAATTGTAGACATGTTAATTCTTCAATAAAATAAAAATGTTAATTCTGCTGTATATTCTTACAGGAAATGAAAAAAAGACAAAAAAAAACAAACCCAAAAACCCAAAAGGCATAAAACATTAAAAACATTAAAGTCTTCTAAATCTTGTTTTAATTGCTAAAGAGGAATACACTTACTATTTAAAAGTTGTAATAATTGAACTGCCCTTAATGAGACATGAAAAAATATGAACAGGGGCATCATTTATAGCTTAACTTGATAATACCAAGAACGTGAATAATTTTTACCTGATAGAACAAAACTGTGTATTTGGACATACACTCTTCACAACAGAAATCTTCCACCTTTCCCCCTAAATTACTCTGTACCAATTTGGGAGACGTCTGTAAACAATAACTGCACATTTTACAGTGATTTCCCCAACGTTTTACCAAGTCATGTTTATAAAGTAATTTGCAACCTAAAAAAAAAAAAAAGAGAAATTTATCATTAAGGAAAAACAGCTACATTCGTACATCAAGAGACTGCTTTAGAGGTTCTATATTACCATTTTAAACAATGAATGCTAAGGTAGATAGTGTAGAACAGGTAATATTAAAGTGTATAAAATATATTAAGAAAAAGATTTCTCCCCCCCCATGAAACATATTATTACACACCAGATCACAAGTAAAATGTCTTTCTTCTTTTGTGTTGCTGTCAGAAACTTTTAAAGCCATTATTAGTCTAGGATACTAATCTTTTATGTTTAAAAACAAAACTCTCTAAACAAATAAAATATTCATCTAAGTAAAAAAGGCAATCTACCCCATAATGACTTGCATATTCAGACCATTTATAAGTAAAAAAAATATTGGTCTAAAACAATAAAAGTATAATCTAAATATACTATAATAATTTAAGACATTTTCTTTAGAAATACGTGTACGGTTCAAATCCACCAGATGCTCTGCCAGGGAAGGAGGGACAATCTCCTCCTGTACCAGTCAGATCTGATTTGACCGTACACGCACACAAAAATAATTTAAAAAAAAAAAAAAAAAAGAAATACATGTAACAGTTGAGAGATCCTTGAATTCTTTTCAACCTAATTATGTCAAATATTTTTTACATGGCAATAATCTTCTCCACTATATTTTTATAATCTTTTTCTTTAATTTCTATAGATAAATAATTAAATCAGAAAACTATAAGCATAATCAAAGCAAAAAAGGTTGTGGCATTAACCAAAGAAGATAAAGTAAATAAATGATAAACAGATAAATGGTAAAGCTTAAAACATCATCTATTTTGATAATAGCCAACATGCTCAATAGGTTTAATACTCTTCTGTCTTTACCTTCACTACAGAATGACTTGTCAGCACCTGAGAATCGCACAGTTTCCTTTACAATTTTTTCAATTTTACAATATTCACACATTGCCATCACATTATTTATTTTCTTATACTCATCAGAACAATTCTTGCCACAGAACTGAAACATTTTACCCTGCAAAGAAATAATCAGTACGAACTAATTAAGTGTTTGGTTTACATTATAGAAATCTTTATCCCTCTTTCTTACAAAACAAATAATAAAACTTCGAGAGATAAAGTTATTTAAAATAATTTTACAAAAGACCAATTTAAACCAAATTCTTGTGATAACCCTGTACTTACCTTATAGTCAAGAAGTTCTGGTTTTGTGGCAAAAAGGCGATTACAGTGTTGACACTTTAGTTTCACCACACTTCGTGCAAATCCAGCATGTTGAGACTGAGCAGCAAGACGCTGGAGACCAGCTGCAGCAGAGCTACTGATGGAGGTGGGGGAAACAGCAGAAGTAGTACTTCCTCCTGCTGACACTGTTGAACCTGTGGGAATGCTTACAATTACTTGGCCCTGAGACAAGGGCACTACTGAAGAATTCATTCCTGCTGGTTTGTTGAACAAGTTCTGAAAAAAAAAATAAATTTTTAAAAATCTAAGTATCAGTTTAAACAAGTTAGTATTAGAAAAAAAAATCTCAAACTTAAACTCACTATTAAAAAGACTCATAAATGATTGACCTTGAAACCTTAAGTGGGTTTCAGAGGCTGTAAATTGCATGGGAGGAGACTGCTTATCTTTTTCCTGGGGGTCTCCTGGTCAATTTAAACCACGTGCCTTTGGGTTAACAGTACAACTCTTTACCACTAACCAGGTCACCAGAACTTCCAGAAAGGAAGTAGTAAGTGTCTATAAATGCCAAGCAGTTCAAAGAAACATCTATGAACAACTGAACAATTCAGAATAAGACAGAAGGAGTTGAATTGGGTAGGGGGGAAAATTACTCAGTTAAATAACGTTCTTCATGAACAATATCCATCTAGTAGACAAATTATGTAATAATGTTGTGTGTCACTGAGTCATCTTTAACTCACAGCAACACTGATCAGACAGAGTTGAACTATTCCAAAAGGTTTCCTAGGTCATAATCTTAATAGAAACAGAATGCCCCATCTCTCTCCCAAGAAGTGGTTGGTGAATTCAAACCACCTATTACGTGCTGTGAAATCAGCTCTGACTCACAGTGACTCAATGTACCAAATAACAAAAGTCTGCCTGATCTTGTATCATCTTCACAATTTTCATGTGATTAAACCCACAGTTTCAGTCACTGTGTTTACTGATCTAATTGAGGGTCTTTTTCTCTTTTGTTGAGTCTCAGTTCTTCAAGTATGTATCTCTTCCCAAAACTCAGTCCCTCTTAATAACAGCTCAATGTATGTGGGAGGAAAAGTCTCACCATCCTATTTAATTTTACAGAAGGCAGACATACAAAATAATGCCATGCCTCCAAGCACAGATGTGCCACAGAATACAAATTTAATAGGACTGACCTAAAATTTAGACAAATAAGCATTACTAAATCCTCAGTAAGTTCACATTATTACAGCAACTGACTCAATGACTGGCAATAAAAGCAAACTGAAGCCATACCTGAAAAGCTACCACACAACTGTAGCTGCAGAAATTACGAATACTTCCATCTGACATGGCTAGGTGATACTGAGGGACAGCTGATGTTTTACAACTGTTACACTGAACTTGTACACCTTAACAAATTAAAAGTAATGATCATTAAATACAGAAGTACTAAATGTATGAGAATAAATACGGAACAATATACAAAAATTCAAGGATCAAGTTATAGAAATGGAACCTAAAATGAACTATACATATAGACAAAAACTAAGTTATTAGTAAATCTTTTCCCCCCTCTATTTTCCCTCACAATCTACCCTAAAACTACAAATATATGAATCTTAAACTAAGGTACGAATAAATAATACACAGTAAAGAAACCATACGAAATTACTTTTGTAAAAGAGGACTGCATAAATAACCACATGAATAAGAGAAAAATAACCATATGAGTAAACATAAAATAAGCAATTAAGGCAGTAGGTAACATTTTACAACAAAAATCAGAAATACTTGCATTTTCTTTTAAAAAGGATAACTATACAAATAAAGTAATGACCATATTTTTCCAATTACTATATTAAACAGTTCATGAAACCAGTATTACCTGTAGAAGTAACAATTTTAACTCTGTAAGCAGATAAACAATTAACAGAACAGAAAAGTTCAGTCTTCCCCAAGCTGTTGGTATTTTCAATCATTTCTGCTGAGGATCTCAATGATTTGCAAAGTGCACACGGTGTAATTTTGGCTGATTTCTATTAAGAGAATAAAACATTCACTTATAGCAAAACTTTTAAATGCTTACATCAATATTGTTCTGAAATATGTTAAATTAGTGGGTTTTAACATTTTATAATTACAAATTCTCAGTAATCAATACGTCTGACAAAAATGACTCAAGACTGTTCGTTCACAGGGTCGCTATGACTCGACGGCACCAAACAACAACAACAACAACTATTTTGGCACACATTCACAATAATATATAAAGTATGCCAACATCTACTAGAAGATCTAATATCTTAAAAAATATAGTCATGAGACTTGCTATTCATTAAAAGACACATGTGTATTCTGACATCCTTAAATATCTCTATTATTTCCTATTCCACTTCCACTTGCTTTCCTATCTATTTTTTTTTTTTTTTATTTTTTTTTTTATTTTATTATTTGTGTGTGTGCGTGTACCGTCAAATCAGATCTGACTGATACAGGAGGAGATTGTCCCTCCTTCCTCGGCAGAGCATCTGGTGGATTCGAACCGTACACCTCTGGGATTGCAGTGTAGCTTCTTGCCACTAGGCCACCAAAGCTCCATTGCTTTCCTATCTAGAACTACAAACATTATCTTAATTTTTAAGACAGGTCAAGCATTATTTCTGTGTAGATGTTGCTGATAGTTCCATCTTGTCATCAATTAGAACTGTCTTTCCCTTGTTGGTGTTATGTGCTGTTGAATATGACTCACAGCAACTTTATGAACAATGGATCCGAACCCTCTCATACCTTGTGCGATCCTCATCATCTCTGACACACCAGAGTCTATTGCTGCAGTCATTTTCCATGCATCTTGCTGGGGGGGGGGGCGGACGGGGGAGGGACAGACTTCCTTTTTGTTGCTGAGCCTCCACCTTTCAAACCATGTCTCCTTTCCCTCTGTCGTCCTCTATATCCCATACATACTTCCATAGTGTCTATAATTACGCATCTCTGTATCTAGTTCCTCCAGTAAACATGTAGCCATCCCTAATAGAAATTACACCTAATGCTTTTTAGATTAAATGTAAGGAAGAAATGAACATAGCAGGAATGACTATAATTCCTCTAGTTCTATACTAGGTGTTTTCTCATTCTTACTTGAAATAATACTGAAAACAAACCTGAGATATACAGGTGGTATAATATTCATTTACAGGTCAGAAAAATGAGACTTAAAGAAGTTTAACATCTTTCCTAGAGGTAAAAGTATATTTGAATGAAAAGTCTAGGAGTCAAAACTGGCCCTCTCAATACTCTTCTCCAGCACCACAGCTCAAAGGCGTCGATTCTCCTTCTATCCTCCTCAGTCATTGTCCAACTCTCTGATGCATAACAAGGGTGCAAAGACCATGGCCTGTATCAGATGCACCTTAGTCTCTAGAGACACACCATAAATTGCAACACTATATAACATTTAACATTCAAAATCACTGCAAAGATTTAAAAATAATATTTAAATGAGCAATATTTAATTAAATAGTTTTGGTGGGCTACATTGATATTCATTATTCTAAGAAAAAGAATTACAATTACACAAACTATTAGGTCTTAAAGAGTTTATCTAGTCCATTTTCTACAAACATCATCAATTCTCAAAATATTAAAAAACTCAAATCTACTTTTTCTTCTTTCTTGAAGAATAGTAAAAAAATTCCTCAGCTATAACAATTTGCATCTATAGGATTATTAATTTTCTGGTTTACAACTTCAGCCGGCCAACTCTGATTTCAAAATATGGATCTGATTTCAAGAATAGGCATTCCGTTTCCAGATTCTCTCTCTCTCACTCACACACACACACACAGAGAGAGAGAGAGAGAAATTAAGTATTCAATCTAGGCCTTACCTTATAGAGCAAAAAATAAATTTATGCAAATAAAATTTTATTTAATATATTAGATAATGTGAGCAGTTGTGACCAATGTAGTTATTTTCCACCTTTAAGATATCTTGCATTTCAAAATATTTTTCAAATATATGAATAACATTAAAAATGTAAGTTTTGTTCTTAGGTTTGAAATGCAGATTTTCAGGCAATGATTTCAATTTTTCATTTAAGAGAGAAACTGCATGCAATAAGAGTATTTAGTATATATGTATTTGAAAAATACTATTTATATATAAATACTAATAGGAAGCAAATATTAAGTTGTTACATTTTCTAATATTTTAAAAAAATAATTTCAACAAAAATTTAGATTCCCTGCACTCAAAATAAAAATACACATGAGGCTTTAATATGTTTATGTACCTGCTTGTATGCTGTGATGCACGCTGAACTACAAAACTTCTTAGATTGTCCCTCTATCTGAAGCACGTGGCACTGACCAGAGCCACTGTAACAGTAACCCCCACAGTTCTCACAACAGTTCATGGTGAGGTTGTTAGCTGAGCGAAACTTAGAGAAACAAGCATCACTGCAAAGCTTATGTACAACATTTTGGTAATTAACCTCATGTCGAATCTAGGAATTAAAAAAGAGAAACATACAAACAATATTCAGAGACCATAAAAACCTGTTATTTGAGCAATTAGTAGACTTCTCGACCCAATAAAAATATAAAAGCAACTTACAACAGCATTTTTTTGACACATGCTGCATTTGGTTGAAAGACTATTTGTATTCATTGAAACAACAGGTTTTCTTTTCAGTTCATATGTTGATAAACATGAGCGACTACAAAATACTTTACTAGTGGTGGCATTTTCAAACTGGGCATTGATCACATCCTTTGGATTTAAAATGTCTCTGAAAATGATAAAAATACAATGAGTCACAAGGTAATTATTTCCTTTCCCCCCCAAAAAAACCAACTAAAACATCAGTAAATTAGTATAAAATGGGCTTTGTCATTGAAATTAAACTAATAAATCTAGTTTTGGCAATCAGTTGAGAAACTTACCAGCAATTTGACCTAGAATAAAGTGATACATTGCTTTGATATTTAAGTTCTTTTCTCTAACATGGAACTATAAAATCACCTCCTTTATAGAACTATTGTGAGAATTAAGTGTATTATGTTTCAAAGATTAAAAGAATATATACCAAATGATTGTTGTTATTATTATTGTGAGAATCTGTACATTATGTTTCAAAGATTAAAAGAATATACACCAAATGATTAGCACTCATACCTGTTAAGTATCTAGTTTTCTTCACTAGGTTCTCTGCATTTTCTACATTTTATAATAAACTTTAAAATCAGTTAGTACTTTTGAAATTCATAAAACTATCTTTAAAAAATAAAAGTAAATTTTAAACAACATAAATATTGTAGCACTGTTATATAAAATTTAAAAATTAATTTTCTTTTTAATATCTACATTTTAATCTACAGGCATTGAGCAAAGGCAATGAAGAGTAAAACCTTAATGATTAAGGTTTCCCATCATTCTGTCCCAATTCCACTCCAAATCAGCCTTTCTACTCAACAGTTTTTCAGACACATTAATTGTAAACCATTTTTAAAACTACTTTTGAAAAAATCCTTTGATGAAACTTTCTACAGATCATTCCCATAAGGACATATTAATATAATGAATTGCTATTCTTACTCTTCCATAATAATAAGTAAATAAAAGAATATACTTTAAAAATTCTTAATATATTCATTTTAATGAAATATAACTATTAACAAAAAATTATAATAGTTAACATAATGGAAAATATCAAGAGAAATAACTAATAGTATACTATGCTATCATCTATGTTAACTACAAACAGCTCCGCTTCCTGTATTTATTGTTTCTTTTACACTAGTTCTTTTTCTATTAGGTTTTCTTTTATTCCATTTATAGGGTTATTTATCAAGCAGTAAGACTGAGCTATGCAATGGTAAACCCTGAGTTAAGATATGGGCCATCCATGCTCTCAAGTAGCCCAGTTTATCAAGGCAAACAAGCATATAAAAATAAACACAGCAAAAGCATTAAAAAAGAAAAAGCACAGCAGTTCTATTTTGAAAAAGGTATGAGTACTGTAGAAATATAAAGAGAGGAAATTATTATTTTGACTCCATATATAACGAATTGTTTTCTACATAGTTAAGGAGATAAATAAAGGATAGCTTTAAATAAAGGGAACAATATTAATCAAAAAGAGATAAAAGGGTAAACAAGGGGAGCTCTGGTGGCCTAGTGGCAAGAAGCTGCACTGTAATCCCAGAGGCGCTCGGTTCAAATCCACCAGATGCTCTGCCGGGGAAGGAGGGATAATCACCTTCTGTACCAGTCAGATCCGATTTGACGGTACACACACACACACACACAAAAGGGTAAACAGGAAGATGTGTATGGATATCCAAATAAAGGAGAAAAGGAGTAAGGGGGTACAGGGGAAATCACGGGTCACAGAATATAGGAGGTAGAGAAGGAAGGGGTGAAAACAAACAACAACAATGTATATGAATGAAATATAAATTATCATATGCAAACCAATTAATTTCAAAAAAAGAAAAGGAGGTAATTCTTGATTTCAGAATGCTTATAGTTCAATTAGGGAGCTCTGGTGGCTGAATGGTACACAGTTACACTACCAACCTAAAGGCACGCATTCAAATCCACTAACTGTTCTACAGGAAAAAGGGGCAATCAGTGCCTCTGAAAACCTAGGGATATTCGTAGGGTCAGCTATGAATTGGTTCAAACTCAAAGGCACACAACAATAAAAGAGTTTCATTTCTTTGCACCTTGTTTTAGAATAAGGGGGAAATTTAGAAATTATAGAAAATGTAGAAATTATAATTCTGGAAGTTACATCTGAGTATTCTTAAATTACTAACCATATTAACAAAATCATTTCCCAGACTGTATTTTTATATAGAACTGGACCTTATTATTAAGGAGCTTTGGTGGCCTAATGGTTAAAGGTAGGCAGTTCCAATTCATAAGCTGCCCCGTGGAAGAAAGATGAGTAACCTCCAGCTGTGTAATTTACAGTCTCTGAAAACGCACTGGAGCATCAGGTGTAAATCAATTCCAAACCAATAACATAAAACAGTAATTATTAAAGAAATATTAATATTTAAAGAAATATTAAATATGGAGCTCTGGTGGCTTAGTAGTAAGGAGTTGCAAAGGTAACTAGTTTGAATCCTCCAGTGGCTCCACAGAGAAGCATGGCAATCTCCTTCAAGTGATTTACAGTGGCTGAAAATCCACAGGTGGTTTACCTATGAGTCGTTTCCAACCTGATGGCACAGAACAACAAATACTAAATAATGATTAGCCAAAAGATACTCAGAATGTAAAGATGCTAAGAAATGACCAGCAAATGATTAAAAGAAACTAAAAAAAAGCTGGTCCTCAAATAGCTAAAACAGATTTTCACTGAACACCTATTATGCTTCTGCAGGCCATTATAATAGCAATAACTATAGGAAATAATTTTTTTTCTATCTTCATTTATTCAAATTGTATTGGAACACTTCTAAGGATTGACATACAAATTAAACTTACTTTACTATCCGAGAAGAAAGTACATGTACCTAATTAATGACATGACATTGAAAAATCTTTTCACTTCTTTGAATCTAATTTCATCTTATTTAAGGTATATTCCAATTCAGAAAACAAATAGGTCTATCTTGGAGAGAGTTAAACCAAGTGTCTCCGTGGAAGCTAGGATTTTGAAGTTCCATCTCACATACTTTGGGAACGTGGCCAGGAGAGACTGGTCCTTGGAGAAGGACATCATGCTTGGAAAGGTGGAGGGACAGCGCAGGAGAGGAAGACCCTGGATGAAATGGACTTATATAGTAACTGGGGCAATGGGGGTTTGTTGCAATTAGTGAGACTGGTTCAGGCCAGGGCAGGGTTCAGAGCTGCTGTACACAGGTCACCGGCCACTTAACAACACATAACAACAATAATAATCAGTTAAATTCCTGAGTGGTAAAAATTATTAAAGCTTCTGGTTCTAGTCAAAGGCTGACTGTTCAAGTCAACCCAGAGAAGCCTGGAAAGTAAAGCCTGAACATCTACTTACTGAAAAATCAGCCACTGAAACATACTTATAACAGTTCTGCGATAAACATGGGATTACCATCAACTGGAATCAATTCAAAACAACTTTTTTTTTTACATTCATCTATTATCAGTTCATCCCAATCATTGCAGTGGCAATGCAAATATGGGAGGAGGTTGTAAAAGAGAGACAGGGTGTGAGAAAGAAAGGTAGTGATAGGAAATCAAGAGTAGATGTTGTTGTTATGTGCTGTCAAGTCACTTATGATTCATAGTGACCCTATGTACAACAGCCCTAAACTCTGCTCTGCCCTGTGCCAGTCGCACTGTCTCTGTTACATCCATCCCAATTACCCCAGTCACTGAATTAATCCACCTCATAGAGGGTCTTCCCCTCCTGTGCTATCCCTCCACCCTACCAAGCATGACGTCTCTCTCCAAGGACCAGGCCCTCCTTACAATATGTTCAAAGTATGTTAGATGAAGCCTCAGAATCCTTGCCTCCAAGAGGGTTTAACCCTCTCCAGGATGAATCTGTTTGTTTTCCTTGCAGTCCATGGTATCCTCAATACTCTTTTCCAGCACCACAGCTCAAAGGCATCAATTCCCCTTCTATCCTCCCTAGTCATTGTCCAACTCTCTGATGCATAACAAGTGATTGCAAAGACCATGGTCTGTATCAGATGCACCTTAGTCTTCAGAGAGACACCACTGCTCTTCAGTTAAGGAGGTGAAATACAATACAAGGAAAATATGAGCAATCCATAGATCAAGATTGAAATGGTAGGAGGAAAAGTGAAAAGAGAAGGGGGAAATATAAACAGAGAAAGGAAAAGGAAAAAGCTGAAGATACAGACTGATGAGGGTACTTGAGAACAGAAAGGATAAAAGGATAAAGGAATTGTGAATGAAAGGTTGAACACTTAAGACTCAAGACCCAACCAGATTCAAAAGATCAAATTTATAATGCATGAAAAGTAGACAGATGGTTAAGAATAAAAAAAGAGAAGAAAAATAAATATATAAAGAACCACTGAACTAAATAAGATCAAGAGAAGATATGACAAAAAGAATAAAAAATGACTTGTGTAAAGAAAAGCTACGGCAGGCAACCAAAGGCTTAAGCAACATGAGAAGACTCCATGAAAAGAGTTAAGATGTGTGAACAAGAATAAAATGTTCTTTGAGTCCCCTAGGATCACTTTAAAAATAATGATAATTTTTTAAAAGTAGTAACCATAAGGGGAGTTCTGGTGGTCTAGTGGCAAGGAGCTGCAACTACAATCCCAGAGGCGCAGGGTTCGAATCCACCAGATGCTCTGCCGGGGAAGGAGGGGCAATCTCCTCCTGTACCAGTCAGAACTGATTTGACGGTACATGCACACAAAAATAAGAAAATAAAATAAAATTTTAAAAAAGTAGTAACCATAACAATAATTATCAAAGAAGAAATGCCAGTCAAATTTTAGAAACTACTGGTCTTTAAAATAAGAGTGAAATACAGAAGGAAAACATTTATTACACAAAATTATCTCATGGAAAAATAGGAAATAAAAAAAACCCTATAAAAATTACTCTTTAAAACTGACTTAGAAAAACAACTATGAGATATCATCTCACCCCTGTCAGAATAGCAAAATTTAACAGAACAGCAAGCAACAAATGCTGGCTAGGTTGTGGAGAAATTGGAACCCTTATTCACTGTTGGTGGGAATGTAAAATGGTGCAACCACTGTGGAAGGCGGTATGGCGCTTTCTCAGAAAGTTGCAAATAGAGATACCATTTGACCCAGCAATTCTACTACTGGAAATATATCCCAAAGAGACCATAACTGACATCCAAGCAGATATATGCACACCCATGTTTATCATGGCTTTGTTCACAATAGCAAGGAGTTGGAAACAACCCAGGTGCCCATCAACAAACGAATGGATAGAGAAGCTGTGGTATATTCACACAATGGAATACTATGCTGCATTGAAAAACAAGGAACTCATGCAATATTATTCAAAATGGGTGAGCCTGGAGGACATTATGCTGAGTGAAATATCTCAGTCGCAAAAGGACAAGTATTGCATGGTGCCACTGCTGTAAAATGGGACTGATATCAGGGTGGAAGTAAGACTGAGAAAAACTGGATAAATTGTGTATACTGCACTGAAACAGATGAGGGACTGAATAATTTAAAAGCGATGTATGATAGGGTATTATGGTTATCACAAGAGTCCACAATTAAGGTTGCATAGTGGAATGTACTTGGGGCAGTGGGAGCGGTGCGGGGGGATTTGTGTACCAGGGAGGGAGTCTTTCTTTTATTTTTGAAAGAGAGGAGCAAACTGGGGGGCGGGGGGAGAGGGCTGGGCGGGGAGAGAAGTGCAGCAATGAATGAATGGAAATCCAAATTCTGTGTAAATGTTCATTAAAATTATTTTAAAAAATTTTAAAAAACTGACTTAGAGATGATATGTATACTTCAATTTGCAAAAGAATGTTTAATAATTAAAACAGAATATATAAAGAAATCTACTGCTAAATTCTATTTGCCAACAATAATGCTGAAATTAGCTCTAGTTTCTGCTGGGTTTTTAAGTCAGATAAATTATCACTATTAAAAATGATAAGAATTTTTGTTCTCTTTTAAGGTAGTCATTCATTCTCTCATTCACCAACTATTTATTAAGTATCTGTGTCAGGAACAGCTTTTTAATGGAAATAGAAAAATGGGAACAACAGTAAAGGTCCTACCCTCAGAGAAATCATGTTCTAATGAAAGAGGAAAAAAGGAAAATGTGCCAGAGTCTAGCATTCAAAACAGTCTTGGAAGAGTACTAAAAGCGTATTTTTTTAAAAAATGGCTCTTTGGAAAAGTCTTTCCACAACAGAACTTGTTAACACCAAAAGTCTTATTTTACAGTCAAATTTCAGTTTTAAAATAATGTAGTATGAAACATCATAATAAACTTTAGAACCATATATATGGTTCTAAAGGACATGGTTAGATTCTGGTGGCATAGGCCACAGAAAACTGTAATGCTAATCCAAATGCTGCATCTCTTTCAGTTCAAATCCACCAGCAGCTCTGTGGGAGAAAGATGAGCAATCTCTTCTCCTGTGACTTATCCCCTCAAAAACCCACTGGACAGTCTGCTATGAGTCAGTTCTGATGCAACGGAAATGTGTTTTAAATAACACACAGATTGATGTGAGCATTAATCGGACTCTCAAGAGAAGAAAATTCACTATCAGTGAAGTGATTCTAAGACCCCTGCAGGTATAATACATTATTAAATGTTAGCAGAAAGTTCAGCTGTTCAAATACATCAGCTGCTCCACACGAGCAAGATGTTAACAGTATCTTCCCATAAAAATTTACTGACTTATTTCCCCCTCTATAATATATAGATTAACAGAGAGTTGCCATGAGTAATATCAACTTGGTGGCAGAGTCTTTGCTTTGCTGGAAGCTATTCAAAAGAATGTGTCATGAACTAAAAGATAAGCCCAAATTAAAAGTTAGTTCTTTCTAAATAACAGGAATGTTATACAAGGAAGATAGTTTTCAAAAGAAAGAAAATCCAATTTCCACTTTATATGAGTTGGCACATTTAAAAATGTCATTTTACTCTCTCAAATATATAAAAATATATCTTTTCATTTGTTTTAAAGATAGTAAATATAAAGGGCAGTGCATAAATTAACTTCCAGGAAAATGTCTAACCATATGCAAATATCCTTCATAACTCTTTGATCTAAACTGTATCTTGTACTAGTTATCAGAAGAGGGAGCATCTTTCTCCTTTTCTAAGCAGAAAAAGGGGTACTATTCATCTGAGAAATTACATTAACATTAAAACTTGAAAGGAGTAATTATGACTTGCACAGACTTACAATTGAGATCAACATGTTTTAGAACAAGAGTATTAACGCTAATCCTAACCCTATTCTTTTCCTTTATTAAAACCATTTTCTAACAATCATCTTCAAAAAATTAGCCAGAATTAGGGTTTTTAAAAAACAGATCAGGATGACCTTACACACATTGTAAAATCTTATATTTTTTACCCCCACTAAACACTGCAACAGCCCCTTTGAAAGAGTTCAAATGGATTCTGAAGCCATTTATGGTTAAGAAAGTTGTAAAATAAATTCTAGCTAGGTAATTAACCCAGTGTTCCTGAGCCAATTCCAATTCAGAGTAACCCTATAGGAGAGCACAGAACTCCTTAGCAGGGTTTCTAACACTACAACTTTTAAAGAGCTAATTGATACATCTTCCTCCCACAGAGTAACTGGTAGGTTCAAACTGCCATCCTTTCAGCTGGCAACCCAGTACATTAACCATTGTGCCACTCAGGCATCCAATTAGGTGGTGGTGGTTGTTGATTGCCTTAGAGTAGAACACGACTCATAGCAACCCTATGAACAAAGGGCCTGAAGTCTTCTATAATTATTGACATTTATCAAGGTTCATAGTTTTGGAGATGTATTGTTTAGGAAGTGGATGTCACTCCTGCTTCCAAATATTAGGTGGTAGGAAATATAACTTTTTAAAACCTTGATAGTGCTTTATATAACTTTATTTACTGGGTTTAAATATTGGCCAAAGACTTTTTTTAAAGGTTGATTGTATAATACTTCTAAACAGTGTCATTTCAAGTTTTATAAAGCAAATTCAACTATAAGAATAGAAAGATTGATCTCAAAAATCTTTTATTTAAAGCTGAATGAAAATTGGGTACCTAGTTACTAAAAAACCAGCAACAACTTATTACCATTTCTCAAAAAAATAAACCCCACAAACAAAAATATTAAACAAAATACACAAACAACAACAGTATGTGACAAAACGAAAGAAATAAAGAATTTAGAATTTTGCTATACTTTGAGCAACTTGAGCATGTTTTCTTGGTGGGAGGTGGCGGTGGGCGTGCAGGTGGAACTGTATATCCAGTGAGACACAGTGTAGAGCAAAAAAGCTGAGTAGACCCTTTTCTTTGATAAGCAGTTTGCCCCTTCTGGAGAATTTTTTTACAACCAGAACAGGAAACTCGAACAGTTGTGGCTGGAACTGAAGGAAGCATTTTATTCACGCCAGATGATGCCAATGAAGGCTGAAAGCCAGTAGTCAACTGTGGAGCTTTAAAAAAAAATAATAATTATTTACTTTTTACTGTGAATTTTAAGTATTCATCTACTTTTTTTTTAGTATTCATCTACTTTTTCTCTTCTAGAACTTACTTTTGAAACTAAATACTAATTATGCAATACAAAATTAAAAGCATTCTTAATAGGAAGAGAGACTTGTCTTATTTCCTAATACAAGAAGATATTTTGTCTCACTCATAATGGTCAGAATAGACAAACATGATTCATTTATTCATTTCTATTTCTTACCAAGAGGACTGCCACTAACTGAAAACACAGCACTAATTTTCAGTTCCCTCTCTTGAGTTTTCGGCTGTTGGCCATGACCATACTCCTTTAAAAAAGCAAAGAAAATAGATAAATTAATGCAGAGGAAAATATAAATACACTGTATCTAAAGAAATCCAGGTATTTGTAACATTTTGCCATAATTATATAAGGTGTGGAATATTTACTATTTTAAAATTAACAATTTTCACAATACAAAACTACAAGCAAACTATCTGCAATAAGGTTAATTAAGTTGACATTGACTATGAAAGCAAGTAGTAACATATGAAAGAGGCTATCTAATTCACTAACCATTGTTTAGATATTATTATGGCAAGATACTTAAATATTACTTTTTTAAAATCTTCTTTAATATTAGTACAACATTTTTACCCATTATAAAAGTAATACTCACTAAAGAAAATTCAGACAAGTAGAAATTTTAATTCCAGATCACATTTCCATCATTTCAAAACAGCCACTTATTATTTTGGTATTCTCTTTCCCGATCTCTATTGAGAGGTTTTCTTTCTTTAAATAGTTATAATTATTGTTATGTATCATTCTCATAAAGGGATTCTTTTTGACCATTTGAATCTTGAACTCTGGCATTTAACTACATACTATTTTTCAATAATTTCTGGTACAGAATGAACTGTTTGTCTTACGTTACTCTCTAAGAACCCCTGAAGTCAATAGATGTATTACAGAAAGTCTGGAAATTCTAAAAGAATGTTTTTATTTCAACTATTTTTAGGTGTGTATGAACCTACTGTGAGTCACAAACCACCACCACTTAAGCCAATTGTACTGCAAGCTTTCAGTGGGGCTGCTCGCTTTTACAATTACTTCACTGAGAAAGCGTAAGTGGCAAATTTAACTTTTAAAGCATTGCTTATCACACTGAAACAGGCTAAAGCCCTTAGCCTTGTGATCCTCAGGCATCTCATACATATTCCTGTTTTTGTCGAGTATCTATACATTGCTAAAATCTGAGAAATACCAATATATACAGTTTCAATATGGCCCTACATAACACTGAGATTATATAACTATAAACCAATGTTAGCAATGTTCATAAACATTAAGACGATGGTAAATAACTTTTGTGAATGTTTAGTCACACTCTCATCCTTACCCCTAAGAAAAGGATCCTTAAAGTGTATTATTAAATAAAAGGGTAACAAAGTAAAGGTTCTTAATATATAATGACAAGTTGTTCACAAGTTGATTAGTAAAAATACCAGTTTTTAATTATATTTATTCTCAACCCAACTTACTGATACCTAGTTGGTTTTGACTCAAAACTACCCACCCCTGGGTTTCCAATGCTTTAACGAGAGATCCTGTATATCATTCTCCAGTGGAACTACTGATGGTTTCAGACCACAGGAGATGAGCAGCCTTTTGGATAGAAGTACAACCCACTATGAACTATGTCACCAGAACTCCTTCTCTACATTTACTACCCTGATGAATGCCATGATGTGATGTGTAATTACTGAATCGGGTTTGTCATAATCAATCTCTATCACTACTTCTTTATATTATATATGTGAAATGTGTTAGGTGTTCAGAAGTTAACCACTGTTATTCTCATCAGAACGAAATTAAAGGAATAAATGACATCTTCAAAATATTTCTTAGACTTTAAAAAGCATGTTTTCTTCATTCACCTTTACAACTAGCATTAAGAACTTTTTAATTGCTGTTAGGAATACTGTACCTTTTCCATTATATTATCTAATTGGGTAACAAATGGTTTACAGAAATAGTTCTGTCTTTTATACATATATAATTCAACTAGACACTCCACTAAACTTGGATGAATTTTATTAATTCTCTATTAAAGACCCTTACCAGCAAATGATGATTTTTGTCTCCCTTTTCCATTTTTTAAATTCTTCGAATTTCTTTAACATGTATCGGGCCCAAAATCCAACAAAAGTTAAAAAATAAGTGACAACAACAATCTGTGTTCTTTTAGTAATTTTTAAATAAAAGGTTTCTAGCATTTTAAATCCAATGATATGTTGATCTGAAGTCTTTCCTTACCATGATCAAGAGTATCTATTACAAGAAATGCATAATGAATTACATGTCTTCTGCTATCTAACAGAATGATTATATAGGTCTTACATAACCTGTTGATGAAATATATGTATTAAAAGATACTCTAATATTGATTCATCCTACTACTATGCTACACAGTCTTATGAAACCAAGCCTCAATAGAAGAAGAAATTTTAAAACTCAGAAACTACAGAAATAATAATGGCCTACATAAACGGTTTCCAATAAATTCTCTATCATTCTCTGAGAAAGTTATTCCAAACTTCTGGCACATGCCTTAAATTCAAATACCTCTTACTTACATAACAGAGTAAAATATATACACATCTTAAATACTGTTGGTATTCTTACAACACCAATCTGTATGGAAGAATCTCTGATTTATATGCCCATCTTCCACAATGCTTAATAAGTTTATAAACATTTGATAAATACATATCCATTACTATTAAATTATGAATAATTTTCTGATAAATGGAAATACAACTGATGATCCAAAAACTTTCAGAAGCTGACAAACACAGGTGTCAAAATAAAATATCTTAAAAAAAATATCTTCACCTTTCTTCTTTTATTTACCACAGAAGATCTGTATCTATATTCTGGGACTGTATTAAGAAACAAAGAACCTAAATTCTATAGCCACATTAATATGACCTGGCTAAATAAACTTTATCATTTGAATTACTGCATTGTACTTCCTCAAATGTCATAAAAAGTACCATGACAAATAATTTGCTTTCCAATCCTCATCCATTTATTTCAATAAGAGATAATAGATTAGCTTCCTTTCTATTATAAGCAAAAGGAAATAATTATTTTATTGTAATATTTGCAGAACATCCAGTTTTTAAAAAGCTGTATGAAGGGGGAAAAGAGAAAGTAAAATCTCTACCTCTCATTTAAGTTGTTTAAATTTAATATTTTTTCCTTTAAATTAAGTCATTTTTAAGCAATTTTTGTTTACAGAAAGATAAAGAATAAAACAATGATTATGGTTCCAGATGGGCTCTTTCCTGGACATATAACCTTGAGTGAGTAACTACTATGAACCTTAGCTCCTTTATTTACTGAATTATAAATGTGGTTAATATCTACTATAGCCATCTTATATATGGTTGTTAAAAAAAGCAAACAATAAAGTACGTGTAAAAGCATCTGTAAGGGTAAAAGCACTACAGAAATTATAATAACATGCAATAGGATTAATCTAAGAAATGAATAATGATGTTATACCAGTAATAGAGTTAGGAAGATGAGTGACAAATACAGAGAATCTTTATGAAAGAAAAAACCAAGAGCAAATGAGCAGAAGCAGTTAAACAGATACACCCATTTTAGCATTTTAGTAATTTATATGTAAAAGTAAAGAAATTATTGCCAAAACTAATTACATAAAAATGGAGAATAAGGAAATTAGCAGAAAGCAAAAAAAAAGTATGTTAAAGAAAAGAGAAAAGCCAATGCAGGTCTTAAAAGGAGCCATAAGCTAAAGTTCTGACCTTATTTAACCATAAGAATATCTCTGAATAATTGATTGCTAAAAGTAAAGAATGACTATAATTATTAATTCTGTCAGTATTTTATACAAGTCAAGTTAATAATAAAATAATAGTAACTGGAATTGGAATTCAAAAGCTAGAAACAAAGAGGGAGGGCTGCTGGTAGTTGGAAAATACAGTCTTGGTGACAGAAATGAGGCAGGAGATAATATGACAGAATTCTGTACAATCAATGATTTCATTTAACAGATTTTTTTCAAAAAAACTTAAATGCTGACTACAGCATACACAGAAATCAGACTGACTTAACATTTGTGGAAAGACACATTGGAAAAGCTCAGTATCTACAGTCAAAATCAGGCCAGGGGCTGCCTGTAGACTATTAACTATTCAATTCAAAGGGAAGTTGCAGAAAATTAAAACAAGTCCATGAGAACCACAATATGATCTTGAATGTACCAACCCTGAATTTTAAAACCATTTTATGAATAGATTTGATGCACTGAACGAATAACCAAATATCAGATAAGCTGCGGAATGACACCAACGATGTTCATCCACACCATGACAGACTGGGGAAAAAGAAAAGACCAAAATGGATGTTAGAATATATGCTAAAACTTGCCATGGAGTGCAATGAAGTCAAAACAAGGAGTAAAAATGCGAAGATAGTTAGAACGGATTTCAAAGGAGAACTCAAAAAGACAAAGTAAAGTAGTATAATAAAATGTGCAAAGAGCTGGAGTGAGAAAACTAAAAGGCAAGAACACTTCTTTCATTTGGCTCAGCATTTGTCAAGCTAAAAGAAACAAATTCAAGCTTTGAGTTGCAACACAGAAATATTCAATGGGCAAAATCTTGAATTTTGTGGAATCATCAAAAGAAGATAGAAGGAATACATGGTCATTGTACTCCAAATAATTGGTTGACACACAACCATTTCAGATAGTATCATATAATCAAGAACTAGATCCTAAAAAGTCAAAGCTGTACTGAAGGTATTAGCAAAACACTGCTGTTGTTGTGTACTATCGAGTCAGAAATGACTCATAGCTGACCCTTCAGTGGGTTTTTCAGAGGCTATAAATTGCACAGGAAGAAATGTCCATCTGTCTCCTGCAGAAAAACTGGTAGATTAGAACTGTGTGCCTTTAGGTTGCCAGTGCAACTTCTTATCATAACCCAAGTGAGCTCCCTCTGGTAAAACATTAAGCTCAAGGAATCGATGAAATACCAATTGAGGTGTTTCAGGAAACAGAAGCAACCTTAGATGTGCTGACCAGTCTTTGTCAAAAACAAATGAAAGACAGCTACCTGGCCAAGCAACTAGAAAAGATTCATATCTGTTCTCATTTCAAAAAAAGATGATCTTGGGAGCTCTGGTGGCCTAGTGGCAAGAAGTGTGCTGCAATTCCAAAGGCATGCGGTTCAAATCTACCAGATGCTCTGCTGGAGAAGGAGGGGCAATCTCCTCCTGTACCAGTCAGATCCAATTCGATGGTACACACTCAAAAAAATAATAAAAAAATTAAAAATAAATAAAAAAAGAAAAAATCCTCACCATGGGGCCAAAAGGTAGATCACAGACGTAAGAAAGATTGCTGTTGTCAATGATTTCACTTTCTTTAACTCCACAATCAACACTCATGGTATCAGCTGTCAAAATGTCCAAACATTTATTTCATTGGGGAAATCCACTGTCAACAACCTTTCCAAAGTTCTAAAGAGCAAGGATGTCAATGTAAAAAAATAGGGTGCTCCTGATCCCACCTATGGTATTTTTAATAGATTCCTATGTAACTGGAAGTTGGACAATGAATAAGGATGACAGAGGAAGAATCAATACCTTTGAATTGTGGTGCTGGAGAAGAGTACTGACTGTCAAAAACCAAAGCATATGTTTTGGAGACAGGAATAAAAACTCAGAGACATCATACTAGGAAAGGTAAAGGGACAAAGGAAGAGAAGGAGACCCTCAATGAAATGGATTGGCACAGTGACTATCACAATGGGCTTGAGCATGATGAGAGATCGTGAAGATGGTGCAGGATAGGGCATAGTTTGAATCTAGTGTTCAGAGTCACTATGAGTTGTAGTGACTCAATAACACCTAACAACAAGAAGAGATTGAGAAAACAATATTCTAGAACTTCCTTTTCCTTTTGATGGGACATGAATTTTAAAAGTATAAATTTAAAAGGTCATTTGGAATAGTGGAGTAGACAGTGAAAACAGGGTAATGAAGCAAAAGGGAAGATGGTAGAGGTGGAAGCAAGGAGTGAAAGACCAAAAGAAAAAGACACACCAAACTAGGAATCTGTAACTTATAAAATGAGCACACCTGGAAATTTAAGAAAAATAATCAAAGGCCTGACCCTTCACGGATGGTGTGGCTGACAATGGAGAGAAATAAGCAAGGAAAAATCTAAACTTACTCAGACATATGCTGGGACAAGTATGGGAGAGTCAAGTGTCAAAAGCTCTAAAACTTTCTATTCATGTTCTTAATTCTCCAGAAACTAACTGATTAGGTAGCAACTCTTTAGAGAAGATTTATCCATAAGCAGGTTAACACTTCTTAATCAGAATTTGAAACACGCTGAATAAGTGTTAAGAATATACACGCTTCAGTGTCCTGGATGTTATATCCTATTTGTCATTCTCCAGCTACTGGAAATTCTGACTATTTTCAAATCAGAGAATAACCCCTTACAAAACCCAATGCCCCATTACACTATTTGTGAACTTTACTATTAACCACCTGTTTGTCCCAAGGAAAAGTGTCACTGGGTACTGTATAAAGATAGAAGGATGCCTTTGGGATCCTGCAATTAGAATTGCTTATAAAAAATTTCCCATTACTACACTTTACATAGGTAAACTGCAAAGAAGAGTCCCAAGATATCTACTACATACAGACAAGTCTACAGTCTTCAAACATATACTACTACATGAATATTCATTCCCTGGTTGTTATGGCATCTATGTATCCCTAATTTAATTATTCAACATCTCCATTTATTGCTTACATACATACTTTCTATCTACCTTATATTTGAATATTTTCCTCTCCTTTTTATTCACGATATTTCATTCTATTAGTAAAACTTTATCTTCTATAGACGATATACAACTATTTTATACATCTATTATACAACTATTTTCAACTGGGCAACAAAAAAGGTTGCTTATATGAGCATCATTCTGACTCATAAAAATCATAGTTCTGTAATTACTATTCTTCTACCTACTTACTTCAAAACGGTGGTTCTTTACAGCATTTTCTGCCCCTCAGAGGGTATTTCACAACATCTGAGGACATTTGTTGTACTGTTAATGGAAATACATGCTAAGTGTTGATTTAACATTTAGCAGGAGGGACAGAGGAACAGGTTGTGTTTGAAAGGGTTATGTGATAATCAAACTCAACTCCCTGCAATAAAGTCAATCACAGTGACTTTCTATCGGATTATCAAAACTGTAAATCTTTACAGGAGGAAACTGAACTTCTTTCTCCTAAGAAGACTCTAGTCAAACCACCACTACAGAGAGAGGCACATCCTTTTGGTGAACAGCACAACACACTACGTCATTAGAATTCCATTACGTGAGTTAAGAGCCAGTTTATTTCATTTAAATGCTACTGGCATTTTAAATTAGAGCTGATGCTACACATCCAAAAACAAAAGTATAGCTCCATGCAAGAGAATTCTACGGACCAAAATTATCAACAGTGCCAAAGTAGAGACTCCCTGCTCAAAGAAACCTGACTGGAAAATTTTCTTCCACATTTTTATATTTTTAAACTCTGTAGCTTAACAGAAAAACAGACAAAGGTATACATTCTCCAGACACAATGTTAAAGATAATTCAAATTATCTTTATTTCTCATCCTCTGAATTGATGCCATCTATTTTGTTGATGCCAACAAAGACTACCTTCAAATAAATGCTGCTATATTTTGTTCAGCTTTTGGACTCCTTCTCCCATTTAAAAATCATTACAGCATTTGAAAGAACTTCTTTTTTTCATTCCAATCACTGCACTATCATTAACTGTATGGATAATTTAACTGACTTCACAGTTATAAGATCTGCTCTTACCCTTATTACTCAAACACCTCAGACTTGGACTCGTGTGTGAATCCATAAAAGTCAATTTTGCAATCTATTCATTAGCCTAATCAAATGACTCTCCAATAAATTAACTTCTAAACTTCTTTACTCCTGTAGTAGTAAAATGCAAATTACTACTCCACATATAAAACTAATCACCACAAAGTTTCCTAAGCCACTATACAACTGTCAATAATATCTGCTATCAATCTCAAACCTTGAATACTCTCACTTTTCCTAATCCTACCCTCAAAAGTATTACAAAAAATCCTAGAACAGTCACATTAAGAAACAAGTTGGACTACAAGCCTTATTACTCCTCTTTAATAATTTCTTTTAACTGTTAATTCCTTTGCATTATTCTCACAAGATAACCCAAACTGCATCAATCTTTCTGAAGAATCTCCACTCACTCTGTCAACAAACTACTTCACTTCTTAGCCAAAAATTTCCTCTAGAATGAGTAATTAAATGCATGGAACAAAAAGAAAAGGAAAAAAAAAAGGTGAAATGTTTACTTGAGTATTGTCAGGTTCATCTTTAATTTTGTCTAGTAGTCCCTGCTGTGGTGCCATTGCTTTGTCATACTCATCATCCAAAGGTTCTTCTTTAATTCTAATATTTGATGCAAAGGAATTCCCCAGTTCCGAACCAATGGATTCTTTATTGGCAAATGGATAGCTGGAATCCTAAAACACAATATAAAGGATTAATAAATATTCATATTTTTAAATACTCCTCTTCAGGTTTAACACCCAAAGAAAAGCTCACTGGAAATGAAGAGCACTACGGACACTCAATAGAGTCCCTGTAACCTAAAAGCAAATGTGCTAATTACACGTGAATATGAAATACAAATAAAGACATTAAGAGGTGAAGCTCAGAATGTCTCCAAAGATGCCCTTAACCAAATAACAAAGCAAACAAAAGAAATCAGCACTTTACCTAACACATATAGTTACAATTTAGAAACTGACATAAACAAAATTTTGACAGTTGCCACAGTAACGGTAATCTCCATACACACTGAAAACTTACCCTAAAGTTTGTTTCTGGAGTTTGTGGTAAATGAGTATGTAATGTTTCTTCAACTTGATTAGCTATTGAAAGAAAAAAAAACAAACAAACAAAAAAACAACAACATATGTGTGTCAATAATAAATCTTATACAGAATGACCAAAAAAAGCTATCTTCTGATAAACACTTCTCTTTTTCAATAAAGATTATCAATAGAATGAAGTGGGTCCTTCAAAACACCAGATAGGTAGTTTCACCAAAGATTCTGCACAATGTGGCCCAACCTAAATTTTAGCCATATCTCTCACCTTTCCCTTGCTCAAATCGAAAGTTACTTACTAGTCTCTGAAAATCTCTTTGTTCTACCTTTCTTCTGATACTATTCCAATGCCGGTATTATCGGTCTTAATCTTATGTAGCCTTCCAGGCTCAGTTCAATTCAAACTTCACTTATCCTTTATAAAACCTTCCCCCACCAGTGAGTTTAAAATTATCTCTCTTCTAAAAATTCCCAAAACACAGTTTCTATCTCACTCAAAACTTACTACTGTTCAGTTAAAGAATCTACTCAAAGCTATAAACTGCAGGGGAGGAAAACTGTTCATCACTCTCCCTTGGGGCAGCTGGTGGATTCAATAAGTCAGAAAGAAAACTTTGCATTAGTATCATAACTCCCTATGAACTAGACTACCAGAGCTCCCTTTATAGTTTCAATCACTTAAAAGAAATTTTCTGATAATGTCTTGGGAAGACTTTTACCTCTGTCTTTAGTTAATAAATAAATACATACATACATACATACATACGTACATAAATCAATCAGTCTTTTACTGTTTAACTGATCACTGGCAGGTCTACTATTAGAATTATCTTTGTCTTCTAGGTACATGTTCCATGAGGATAAAGAGTCTTAATTTCTAATATTCCCTAAAGGACACCTTGGCAGGGGCTTGTACATAAGAGTTATCTAATATAATTGTTATTAATAATACTGGTTCATTATTTCTTTCACTTATCTCCTAGTGGAAATAATGTTTTTACTTCATATCTACATTTATTGAAAGATTACTATTTTAATTAAACCAAGTGAGGCCCCAAGAATACAAAATAGTAAGATACAATCTGGCTCTCAAGAAATTTCAATCTACAAGGTAAGGCAAAATAAATGTGAGTTATAATGTTATGAGGAAGTACTACAAATAATGAAGCATAGGCAAAATGTTGAGGAAATAAAGAAAACAATTCATTCTTGATGTGGAGAAGTTACAAATGACTAACAAAAGAAGTTTGAGTGACAAAAGAAGCCTTGGTGAAGGAGAAGTACATTTGCAGTATAGGTAAAAAACAAAAAATGGCATGCAGGGAAATGGAACACCAAAGAAAAGTTAAGGTAGAGAAGAAAGAAAATATATGATGTATTCAAATGTGGAAATGAAGCTAAAACACAGGGAGTATACTGGAAAAACAGGTTTCAGAAGAGCTCCAAGAAACTTTTAAAACAGAAATCAGAAATTTTAACAAAAAGTTAAAAACCCTTCTTAATTTGGACTAATTGGTGGGACAGCAGTTTGAATTAGTGCTTACAGCACAAAGAAGTTAAATCCAACTTCAGCTTCCAATGTTCACTCAAAATGAACAGGTAATTCGAGTATCTTGCCTTCACATCAAAATATTGCAACCAGGGGAGGGAGAAATGAGGCTTAGAGCTATTTTTCAATCATTTATACCATTATCAAAAGTTACTGTGATATTCAGTCAGTCTGAAAAGAACAAGGATAAAAGAAAAATGACAAGTTTTCAATGAATTTAACTGTTCATACGTCACTTAATGTCAGAAATAACAAAAGATGTATTATATTTAGTATCTTTTTTCTGTTTTATGGTTCTACTCCAATAATTATTACCTGCTTTATCAAAAAAACTGCTTTTCAACCTTGAATCCAAATCTTTATGGGGTTTATCCAACCGTTTTTCACGTTCATGGTAAGTTAAGTCTCTATTTTTCTCCTTTCCAGAAAATGCGTCTTTGCTGTTTTCTCTTACTAGACTAAAATCTTTCCGTATGGATTTAAAAACTGAAACCTGATCAAATTGTTTAGGAAAGTCCTTTTTAACTTTATTTTGAATTTGTATTTCATTTTCATTGTCTGAATCATGTTGTGAGACTCTTCTCTCTACTTCCAAGCTATCATCAGTATGAATTGAAGAAACAAGATTGTCCTTTGAACTAAAATCCTGTTCATCCTCATTGTCACTACCAACGACTGGAATTCCTGCAAGATCCCCAGAGTTCAAAAAATAATCATCTTCATCCAGCAATGAATTTTCAGATCCTGTTTGATTCGGCATTCCATAGGACATGCTGTCAATGGTAGGAGTTAAGTTGCGGTCTGTATCTTCAGACATTTCTGTATCCATGATACCACCACCTTAAAAAGTAAAATACTGTTTAGACAAACAATAGTGCTACACCTGACCACATTTACAAGTCTGGCTGGTATATAACAAAGAGAAAAAAAATTTCAAACTGAATACAACCAATGTTGTCATAGTATTAATTTAACACATTGATACATGTGTAGAAACTTGAGATACTATTTTAAGTTCTAAATTAAGGCAATGTGATACAGAGTAAAGAATAAAGATATCTGATTTTGAAGTAGGAAAATCAGACATATTTGTGCTGGATATTACAGCCTGATCACCTAAATATCTATGAGATCCTGAGATGTAAACGCTCAGAGTCTAATTATCTAGGAAACAGTATGATACTCACCTTGTAGGTTAAATTAAAGAGAATCCTAGTGATAGCAGGAGCTCTGTGGGCTTAGTGGTAAGGAAATGTGTGCTACACACATACAGAAACTTGGTTTGACTCCAACAGCTGCTGCCACAACAGATAAAAGGGTAATCTCCTGTGTGATTTACTGCCTCTGAAAACCCACTGGAGGGTTAACTCTGAATTGGTTCCACTTGCCAATACACAGCAACAGTAATTATATGTTTAAAAAACCCCTCAAACAACCAACTACATACCTCAAATTCAGAGCCATGCATCAAAACTCTCCAAGGCTCCTAACAGTTGACCCTCCAAAAGTTTTTCAGAGCTTGTAAATCACACAGGAGAAGAATGCTCTTAATCCTCCTGAGAAAAAGACGGTGGACTCAAACCTCCAGAGAGGCACTACCTGTGGGTTAACATCAACTCCTACAGACAAAGCTACCAGAGCCCTGTCTAGACCCTATTTAAAGAGTCTATTAATACACTGTCTTACACAGAAGACAGTCAGTATAAAACTGAGAATTCCTAATGATTACAATGATTATTCAAATGAGGTGAGAATGGAACCCAGAGCTCTGATTTTCAAAGCCTCATATTCACTATATAAAGACTTCATGTTTACAGAAGCAAATTTTTAAAGTTAAAAACAAAATGTATATAAATAAGAATTTTAAATCGAAAAAGCTTATTGCACACAAGTACATGTTACATGATTTCAATTCCAAATAAGGAACCTCCAGAAACTCTCACAGCCCTACAATTCTTTCTATCACTGTTTTTTACCTTTACTTTCCTCATGGTCAAAGTTCTAGGAATAAACAATACTGGTTTGTTTCTCCTGTCACTTCCCAATCATTAATTCTTTGATACAATTCGGTTCCCAAGTTCCCACTGGAACTGCTCTCAGTAAAATAAATAATGATCTTCTCCAACTAGTCAAATCCAACTGATGTTTTTAATCCTTCTATGGCACCTAGTTCTACCTTCTAAATAACACTTCTGGTCCTTTTTTTTTTTTAACACATTATTTCTTTCTACTTTCTTTATTAGACTATCACTTTTATTTCATACTCTTCTTCTCTCCATGTCTTTAATATCAATTTTCCCTCTAGGATTCCAGTTTTCTTTTCATTTTATACACTCAGACCAGGCAATTGTATTTATACATTCCGTATCTATACACTATGTCATACACTCAGAACAGGCAATTTAGCTATGACTTGCTGCTAACTGAAAGTTTTCTCTTTTGTCTAGAACCCAAAGGGACCCTCAATTTAGTATCTATACATTAAAATTTATCATATTCCCACATCACACACATGCTTCTTAATATTGCTCTATCTTGAGTAATATTATTAACAACCAAATAACTGTTCAAGATAGAATCCCTCCAATTCTATTTACCCAAAATTCTGGCAGCTGTACTACTTATCTCTCAAATCCATCTACTACACTCAACTTTTAATTCTCATACTCTATATCTCTTCTTAGACCACTATAGTATCTTCAACTTGATCAATTAATAGATATCTAGGATGCTATCTCATCCTCTTAAACTCCAACATATTCACATTTAATTGCTCAAAGACTGGATAAACTAGGACTGACAAAGACAGAATAAAGTAAAGATGAAAAATATTAATGACACTGTTGTTGTACCATAGAGTCAGAACCAACACATATCTGACCCTCTGATGAGTTTTCAGAGGCAGTTAATCATACAGGAGGAAACTGCCCATTCTTCGGTGTAGCAGTTGGTGGCCTCGAACCAAGGGCCTTTGGGACTGTAGTACAGCTTCTTGCCACTAGGCAACCAGAGCTCCGTATTAATGGCTTTAGCACTTTAATTTTTATTTGCTTCGAAAACATAAATGTATCCTTGTTGTGGAGTTCTTCAACTCTTCCCTGGACTTCCTGACCCAATAAACTGCCCCTATTTATTTATCTGAATGGGGTTATTTAGAATTAAAAGTTCTAAGAGCTGAATTTAAAGCTTTCATAAAGTTGTTGTCCTCCATAAAGACATGGAAATTATTTAAGACAGAAACCATCTTATGGTATACCACCTTTGGAAATATTTCAATAGCTCTCCCCTGACTAATATTCACTCATTCAGTACTTATCTAGTAGGAAACCACTCATAACCACAGTACTAAGTTCTAGGAATAAATGACAAAACAAAGAGGAGAATTCCTCCTCAAAAAGCAAAAATAAACATGTAGAAATTGTGAAAAATAGTAAAGATGAGGGAAAATGAAATTGCTTTCATACTGATGTCAAAAGAGGCCGCTAGAGGGAAGATCGTTTTGTAGAACTGAAAAACGCTTGTGAATAAATGAAGATAAAATATTAGAATCATAAAATCACCATTTTGTACTTTCTAAAATAAAAAACACAGAAGATGTAAAAGTCATTAATTCAGTGAATTTGAAAACGGAAAAACCAGAATTTATAATAGTCTCAAACCTCCACATAAAAAGGATCAATTATAGCCATGACTGAACAGTATTTATGTCTTTTCACAGGACAACATGACATATACTTGTCACTTATGAATTCCTGACAAAACACTTACCATGAGTTTATTCCCTATGTATAAAAAAATATGGCTGACAAAGCAACAAGGAGAGGAAACAATGAGATAAATCCAGAATGCAGGGTGTTCTATAAGACATCACACTGATATTACAAACACTCACGTTTTGAAGATAGTTTAAAAAGAAAAAGGAAAATTAAGACAGACTATTGAGGGATTTATCTTTCACTGTTCTATAAATTGCTTGTCTGTCAGATACTCCTCTAAATCTGAACATTAAGATTAAGACAGACTAGGAAGAAGGATTGGCCATCCACTTCTGAAATAGCAGGGCTATGCAAACCCTATGTACACTAGAACACACGTAGACTAACAGAGAAGGAAGGCAACTGAGGTAGAACTTTCAAGTATAGAAATACAAAGGAAGAGGGACAGTTGTAAGCAGACACTAGTGACTGGAACATGGAATGTGAGAACCATGAATGTAGGAAAATTAGATATTGTTAAGAAAGAAATGGAACGCATAAATATTGACATACTAGGCATTGAAGAGATGAGATGGACCAGCATGGGGCATTTTGAGTCGGATGATCATATGATTTATTACTCCGGAGATGAAAAGGCGAGAAAAATGGAGTTGCTTTCATAGTTAAAAAAGTAATTTCTACACCTGTCTTGAAGTACAACACTGTGAATAACAGGATAATATCCATTTGCTTACAAGGAAGTCAGTGAATACCACTATCATTCAGATATATGCACCGACAACCAGAGCCAAAGAAGAAGAAATAGATGATTTCTACCAACTTTTACAGTTGGAGATCAATCGAACATGCAATCAAGATGCATTGATAATAATGGGTGACTAGAATGCAAAAGTTGGGAACAGAGAAGTAGAATTAGTACTTGGAAAACACGAACTTGGTGACAGAAACAAAGCTGGAGATAGAATGATTGAATTTTGCACAATCAATTACTTATTCATTGCAAATACGTTTTATAAGAAACAAAGGCACGTTATACACACGGATTTCACCTGGTAGTATGCATAGGAATCAGATCGATTACATCTGCGGAAAAAAACCGCTGCAGAAGATCAATATCAGCTGTGAAAACTAGGCCAGGAGCTGATTGTGGAACACACCACCAACTACTCATATGCAAATTCAAGTTGAAGCTGGAGAAAATTAAAGCGAATCCACAGGAAACAAAATATGACTTTGGGTTCATCCCACCTGAATTTCAGAACCATCTCAGGAACAGGTTTGAGGCCTTGAACACTAATGAGAAAAGACCAAAGGAGTTGTGGGAGTATGTCAAATGTATCATCCTGGAAGAGAGCAAACGGTCATTTCAAAGACAGAAGAGAAAAAAAAAAAAAGACCAAAATGGATGTCAGAAAAAACTCTGAAGATTGCACTGGAGCGCAGAGAAGACAAAGCACTGGGAAGAATTCAAGATACTAAAGAACTGAACAGAAGATTCCAAAAGGCAGCATGGGATGACAAAGCAAAATATTACAATAAAATGTGCAAGGAGCTGGAGTCTGAAAATGAAAAGGGCCGAACTCACTCAGCATTTCTTAAGCTGAAGGAACTGAAAAACAAATTCAAATCTCAAGTTGCTATACTGAAGGATGCTTTAGGCACAATATTAAATGATCCAGGAAATATTAAAAGAAGATGGAAAGAATATACTGAGTCACTATATCAAAAGGAATTGGCAGACACAGAAGAATTTAATGAAATAACATATGAGCAAGAGCCTATACTGATGAAGGAAGAAGTTCAACCTGCTTTGAAGGAAACAGTAAAAAATAAGGCCCCAGGAATAGATGGTATACCAATTGACGTATTTCAGC